CAGCAGAACTCCAGGCAGCCATCATCCGGACATGTGTGGCAATCCCTAGGGCCTTTGTCAACCGTCTGATTCACTCCATGTTCAGGCGGTGCACAGCTGTAGTGAATGCACGAGGTGGACATACGCGCTACTGACTTGTTGGATCAATTTCGATTTTGTCTTCAATGCGAAGTAAACCAACAATGTTTCCATGCATTGACTGACATGTCCCAATCATCATGCAATAAGTGTTGCTTGTTAGCATGTACCTGTTTTCATGCATTATCTGTCAAAAGTAAAGTTTTTATAAATCTGGATTTTGACTTGCGTTTCTTTTGCGGTTCAGTATATGTATCCCTTATGATGGAAAAATCAATACAGTCAAGCAGGACATGCTTGACAGTGATTCCCCCATCCAAATGGATGCAAAATGGAGGATCCTCACCTTTCATAGACATCGTCGCATGATGACCTCTTCGAATCTAGACTGACAACCCGAGTAGGTGTTACCTACACAGTGGCACAAGCAACTGCGCCACTATACTTGAATCCATTTGTAAATAAGGATTGGTATGCATTATATACTATCCCAAAAAAGAAACGCAAGTTTTGTATTTTTTAAAAGCTATTAATTACCTTTTGTGTTCAAACAATCGTCAAAATATGTAACAAAAGCTATTAATTACCTTTTGTGTTCAAACAATCGTCACAACAGAATTCACCTTCCAGTTGAAATTGTGGAGCAAAAGAGCATGCACTGTTTGGCTATAAAAATCCAGATTACTTTCGGAAATCGGCATTCGTTTTGAAGGAGTTCAGGTCAGGTCGTTACATTGAAAGAATACACGCTAGAATTACCAATCTCCTCTTGGGCGTCTGAATGTAAGTCTGAGCACAATATCACGGCTTGCAGCTCGTTACAATCAAACAGGTATAACAAATGACCATCCCCGTACAGGCAGATCTCGAGTCCCCACTGCAGCCCAAGATCGGTACATCCGGGTACTACATTTGCGTGCTCGTACTGCCACAGGGTGCCTGAACTTCGGAGGATATCCGGTCAAACTGTACGGAACAGGTTGAGAGAGATTTGACTTAGAGCCAGGAGACCCGACGTCGGGACCGTGCTACGCCTTCACCATCGCGCTCAACGCCTCCGCTATCTAAAATTATCCGGTGGTATAGGCATTTCCTTCTTCTAAACTGATGTAAAATTTCATGTACTAAAGTCTATTTGTGGACGAGTTATACATGTTTGAAAATACAACATTTTCGGAACAGATTTCTGGCCTATGCGTTTCTTTTTGGGGATGGTATATTTATTCCTTAAGTGACTAGCTCTCGAAGAGACCGCAAATAGGGATGGCAAAAGCAAAGATGGACATTCCATAAAGATACTCTCACACAGAAGTTAAAGACCCGTCACTTCATTGCAGAATACACTCTTTTAAGTATCTGTGTAGTATTTGGAATAAAGATGATACCCACATGAGAAACTTGAAGATGCAAGGCTTGTCTTTGACGTTTCCAAGAACATGGATGCGGCTTTTCTGTATCAAAATCCAGTTGACATAGCGATTGTACAATCAGATTTGATCATCATTGTTGCAAGCAATACATATACTAAAGGCTTTCCGGAAAACAAGAAGAAATGCCAGGATTTCCTAGCACATCACCTTGGTGACGCCGTTGACGATGGTTGGACGATAGAAGGGAACAGTTCTTGGGAGTCAGCTCAACAGAATTGAGAGTTCTCACACACTTGTATTTCATTGCATTACAACAAATATTGTGTGGGGAGGAATTGTTAGTGCTTCAGGCAGGATGTAGTAGAGGCGGAGGACAGGATTGTAGGAATAATTTCTTGACCACATACTCTGACACTATGACATGACTAAAGTAAATAAGTGACGTCATGCTACTGAGTGTATGAAGGTATAAACATGATACTTGTAAGCATGTTGCAGTGGTCTGAAACTTAAACTGAATGCTTATATACTTATGCTTGATTAACCTGTTATACTACGTATGTGAATGAAAGAGTACATGGAAGTGTTAAAAGCCTTTTCACATCCATAAGAAATCTCGAATAAAGCAGAAGTGATTGTACAATTCCAACTACTGACGGACAGTGTAGTTTTACGCCGCTTTTAGCAATATTGCAGCAATATCACGGCGGGGGACACCAGAAATGGGCTTCACACATTGTGCCCATTAACGAGCCACTAGACTACCCCACCACCCCACAATTCCAACTAGATCATGAGAATGTGTTTATGAATCATTGTCAAATAGTGATGATGCCAAGATTTAGCGAAAAGGTGCAAAGGCTAGTCAATTATTCACCTAAAAATGGGAACGTATACTACGGCAAAGAAGGGAATTGCATCAGACATCCGTTTTGTCACAAATGCGTCTACCCTAAACTTTCCTAGATAATAATAAATCTTACACAATTGCTCATACTTTGATATTAACATATACATACTTTGAATTCCCGCAAACAAAAATGTATACCAGGGGTAATCTGACTTAAAAAATATATTGACTATTTCCCTTAAATTGAAGTGGACATACACCTCATGATGTTGATCACTGGATTGTCTGGTCCAGACTCCATTATTTACATATTGCCGATTATTGGTTGAATATTGCTGAGTGCGGCGTTAGACAACAAACAAACCAACTCAACAACACAGCGGATAGCATTTTCGATACCGTCTGCGTGCGACAGCTGTGGTGACTCTTACACACTCATGTGTGTACTTTGTGTTCAAATTCGATTCTACGGATATTATTTTCTACATTTTTTGGAAAGTGTTTTGTGACCTAGTGGCTTCAAAGTGTAGTGAATTCAAATTGAATCGGATTCGCTGGCATGTTCGCGAGTCTGTTGACAAAGAGCCAGATTTGTGGTGATATTTCCGAAAGGATGGATCAGGACACGAGGGTGTGCCTCTGGCATAAACACGGTAAGGTAATTAATTATGCTTTAATAGACTACATTAGATCAAGCAGTGTAATGGATAAGAGGGATCATGACTAAGCTAAATAACTTTTTCAACGATATTATACATTTAGAAAAAAAATATGTTGGGCTAAACAGAACGGTTTGCAGATTCTGTAGATCTAATTGTGTTTTACTACCGCTAAATTTGAAACAGTACAAATTTCAAAATACAGTACAAAATATCATTTTGTTTGATTGATAACCCAACTGTTTTATGTGGACGGAAGGCATTAAAATTTCTTCGGCGTTCGATGTTAATGCAACCTCCGTTACCGGATCAAGATCAGTGGCGATATCGTTGACGAAAGCTGATAATAAATTTAACACGGAAATTTTGTAGCAGTCTATTGCTGGATCTATTCTGACATAACATAGAATCAACGTAAACAAATTTGTTTTTGCTGAATTTTTATTCGGAAAGCAGACGATGTTTTGATCTTGTTCGACTGGATATTTGTTTCTATGCTTTCGAAGTACTTTTGTATGTATAAACACCTATTGCTGTGATTTACGCAAGTAGTGAGTCGTGCCCGTCATCGCTTAATCCATCTTTAAAGACATATGTGTAATTTCCGACAGTAAAATCGCCGTAATTTATCGATGCATCGGTAGGTTGTTTGGTGTCCGCCATGTTAGTGGGCAGACAAAAATAGTGCATTACCGTAAACCATGTATGATTGCGCACGGAAAACAGAGACCTGTATAACGTTTTCGATTGTAGAATTCAAATTATACGATGTTGGTATGATTCATACGTAAGCAATTTATGTATGCAATTTCTACCACATCTGTTTCCAAATGCAATAACATGAATGTGAGTATATGCAGTTGATAACAATTGTTTGACAGGGATGTAAGTTATTTAACTGGTTCTTTTCCCGCTGTATGCTACTCTGATTGTTTCAGATAAAACACGAAATATTCTCTCTATTGAAGTTGAAGTCTTTGAGCATTATGTTTGTACGATAAACAGACCAAAGTAAGTTCAAAATAGAGCATGTTTACATGGCGATGGTCGTTCAAGGTGATTCAGCAACTTACTTTCTGTACCTGGTTAGACATAAAATGATGCCGATGGATAGATATCAAGATTAAACTGACAAGGGCACCGTAAAGACAAACTTAGTGTCCTCTTTTAGCGGTTAAATTTCCCCATAAAGTCGCCATACAAGAAAAGGTACTGCCGAATAGCTATTTCACTACTATACAATATATTATAAGTATTATATCCTACTATGACCAATAAATACTGGATTGTGATTGGTTAACTTAAGTCATTCAGAGGTATATGATCACGTTATATACCTCTGATTTTCCAACACAGTATGTATTTTTTGGAAATCGTAAAAACGCAGTTATGGTAGAATGGAGATAAACATACTGTGTTGGAAAATCAGAGGTATATAACGAAATTAGTATAGATTTAAGTAAAGAATTTAGAGCTATTTTAAACATTGCATACCTAACATTGCATACCCTGATTATAAACATAGCATACCTGATATGAAAATGATATACAGGAACTCCACCTTGCGGGAGTAACAAGAGTGAAAAGTGGGTCAAATTGAGCTGATATGCTTTAGTTATGGAAAATATGCAAAGATAAAGACAATTTGTCTTGAAAACATATCTGCATGCATATTCCATGTATCATACAGGTTAACAGCTGAGGAATGAAACATTGTGAGAATGGCAGGTTGTCCAATGAATCAATGTTGTATTATCAAGATATGGAACAGTTATAAATGCAAAATTTATAACATAATTAAAACAATTAAATGAAATGCTTTTGGCACTGAACCACTTTTTTTAACCCTGGAAATGACTATGGTACAAGCACCTCAAGCGTCTTAATTGAGTTTACATACATTTATACCGATAAGTGTTCAGCTTTTTGTTTTTATTTAAATATGTTTACTAACCATTTTGGTTTCCATGAATGTATATTACATTACATAAATTATTACTGTTAAATGTTTTCATAAAATTAGCTGTGTGCTTGTCCTTCAAGCTTTACAGATGTACGGAAACATGTTTGGAGACGACATGGTGAGACTTATGCCAGAGACACCACCTTTGGCGGGATTCTCATAATCATGTTACGGGTGGACAGGTAAACGGACGATTATCAGGCAAGGTTCCCTTTTGGCCTCAAGATCAAAACTTTGCTTACTAAGCCGATAATGTAAGGCCCTTCAGTGTCCATGTTGTGGTGACTGTTCTAAGCCAGCAAATCTTTACCACCCCTCCTTGGCCAGCGTAATTACTAGATTGTTCTCCAATTAAACACCTTTGGTATGATTTGGATCGGGGCCAATCTCTGTGAACATATTGTCTCACTACGGAAAGAGTGGCAGCGCATTCAAGGCTCGACAATCCGTCAAACAAACGTTTTCTTATCGGATGACATATGACAGGTCTGAACTGGTAAATGACAAAGTTACAAATGGTATATAATTATTATTCGAAAAAAATGTTAAAAGACTCATCTGGAAATGATTGGGATTGAGATAATAATCATAGGACCCGTGAAGGTCCGGGTTAGAATGTTGATCTTCAGTAACCCATGCTTGTCGTAAAAAGCGACTAACGGGAGCGGGTGGTCAGGCTCGCTGACTTGTTTGACACATGCCATTGGTTCCCAACGGCGACGATCGATGCTCATGCTGTTAATCACTGGATTTTCTGATCCAGACTCGATTATTTACAGACCGTAGCCATATAGCTGGACTATTGCTGAGTGCCGCGTAAAACTAATCATAGTCATCACTTTCTCAATTCTTCTCATTCAGTCAATTATTTGTGTCTTGCTAAATGTACCACATGTTCTATTGAGTTACATCGTATTACCTATGCATGACTTGTATTGAAATATAACAATTTAATTCATTGTTTCTTTGTAATGGTATTGGTTAAACACGATCAGGTTTGTTCGCTCATGTTAGAAGCAACGTTAATACATGAATATGTATTCATTCATTGTATATCATATAGATTCACAAGACTCAATTGTTTTGCATACATGAATACACGATGCCTATACCATTACAGTGTTTCTGGCCTACCAAAAGATTCAACCGGACTTTTAGCTGAAGGTTACACGATCGGTAGAGTATCGCATATACACTATCCTTTCACTGATCAGGGATTTGGGCCGAGTTCACTCGTTTCAATATGCCCGAGGAAAGGCAGGGATCAATGAAAGAAACTTGGGTTCAGAAGAGAGAGGGCATTTTGTCTCTGCTTGGTTTCTGTGTTGGATATGGCTCGCTCTTGAGATTCCCCTATCTTTGTAATAGAAACGGTGGCGGTAAGTGCAATCGAACTACTACCTGAAACGCAATTATATACAAAGATTATTCATTTTGATATGACTTCATTAAAGAGTAATTAATGCATTAATGCAATTCTCCTTACTGATGGATTAAATTATTTACCTGTAGAAACATTGTAATCGTCCTCAAACACATTTTGCAGGTGCCTTCCTCATCCCATATTTCACGGCTATCATCACATGCAGTGTTCCGTTGTTCTTCCTGGAGGTTTCCATGGGACAGTTCACCAGCAGGAGTGCCGCCCATGTCTGGGTTGTATGCCCTCTTTTTAAAGGTGACCACTTCATTTCATGTATATTACATAAGCACACGTGTGTTCAAAAGCCCAGTCAAACATTGTAGAAAATGGGATTTATTTAAATGCAACAAATTATTTTATCGGGAACGAATCGAATACACATCACTGCAAAGTAATCCTAATGCTAGTGCACTATAGAGTGGCAATACACTTACAAAGGCAGCATGAATCATAACAGCCATTGTAGTGACAGACCCGTGAAGATCCGGGGAAGAATATATCTCCAGCAACCCATGCTTGCCACAAAAGGCGACTATGCTTGTTGTAAGAGGCGACTAACGGGATTGGGTGGTCAGGCTCGCTGACTTGGTTGACACATGTCATCGGTTCCCAATTACGCAGACCGATGCTAATGCTGTTTGTCACTGGATTGTCTGGTCCAGACTCGATTATTTACAGACCGCCGCCATATAGCTGGAATATTGCTGAGTGTGGCGTAAAACTAAACTCACTCACTCACTTGTAGTGACAACAAAGCCAGTGACAACAATATTCACCTAGCAGTAGGAAAGCTTCTAAAATAGCCTACCCTGGATATCCAAGATGAACACAAAATCAGATCTATATTATGTAAAGCGAGATGATGGAGCACTCCGCTTGCTCAACAGCATAATCTAAAACACTTTCTAAGAAAGTTCCATCCAATGCTGAATAGGTCTCTGTTGTTCTGGAAGGTTCTATATTACCCTTGCCTTCACAAGTAACGTAATGTACCAATTTCCATAACACTCCCCTCTACTGAATCTTCACGATGCAGCTGCCATATTACAATATACAAAAATCCCTACTGTTCCAGGAATCGGAATCTCTCAACTGTTAACTGTCATCTTTGGACTCATGCCGTACACATTAATCATGGCTTGGGCACTTTTCTATCTAAGCCAATCGTTCAGGTCTTCCTTGCCCTGGACAACGTGTTACAATTGGTGGAATACCCCAGTATGTACCAATAAGGTAACCAATGGTTCATCCGAAGTCTACTTCAACAGTACTGTAGAGTATCAACTTCTGCAAACCGCCGTGTGGAGAAAGCCAAACTCAACGCTGACTGCAGCTGAGGAATACTGGCAGTATGTTTTGATCAGTTTTATCCAAGCTTCACCAGCTTATCTCCAAATTAGGCAGGGCCTATGTTTAGAAATATTTAGCCACACACATTTAATTTAAAGATTAACATCCCATATTGATTGTCCATAAATAAAAAGATCATGGTGAATATATTTTAAATTATAAGCAACTTTATAGCAATTGTTCCATTGTGAGATAATGATTGTGACAAGGCCCATTTCATTGTGGTCCTATATGGACGTCGCCAAAAGTAAACATGACGTTATCCAGTAAAATTTGAAATGGGCAAACGGACGATTTTCTGTATTTACGCAGAAAATAACCCTGTTTTGTTTGGTTAGTTGGCTGTTTAACGCGTCACTCAGCAATGTTCCAGCTATATGGCGGCGGGCTGTAAATAACCCAGTCTGTACAAGTCAACCCAGTGATCAACAACATGAGCATCAATCTAAGCAGTTGGGGAGCGATGACATGTGTCTACCAAGTCAGCGAGCCTGAACACCCGATCCCGTTAGTCGCCTCTTACGACGAGCATGGATTTGCTGATGACCAATTCCATCCCGCATCTTCACTGGTCCGGCGAATAACTATGGGTGATATAGTGTTAGAATAACCAACCGGCAACTGCGAATTAAGGATTATGTGCACATCCAGAATTAACGTTACCAGTTTCTTTCCCAAGGCTTGGAATTTTTTTGCGCCAAATATCTGCGAATTATGCAAGGTTTAGATCAGTACTGTTTGCCTCTCCGTATACGTCCAACCAATCCTATGGAAACATTTATGTTGAAAGGATCAAAGCCCTGGGAGCGTCAACTGGGATCGACAACTTCGGGTCTGTGCAGCCCCACATCATCTTGTGTCTCCTATGTTGCTGGACCATTTTGTTTCTGTGTATGGTGAAAGGTGTGAAGTCGGTAGGGAAGGTAGGCTGGTTACAAAAGCATGCTGTTCTATCACTATCTCTGACAAAGGTACCTGATGAAGGGTCGCACTGTATCACTAGAAGTGTGGAACATGTATCATTAAAATGCCATATACAATCGCGTCCCGTGTACATGTGGGATAACCGTCATGGCAATTGTCCTGTGTCGATATATTTGTTTAACTAATCCATACATATATAACTTACAAATATCGCACTTACCGCAACAGGAGCTCCTATGCGTATTGTGTAGTTTTAGGACCAGGCATACACACCAACTGTCAACAAAATATGACTGTCACGGAATAGCCCTAGAGCGTCATCATCAACATCACAAGAAAACAAAGTATGAAGATTAACAACATAAGTTTATTCAACATATATTACAACACACACACTTCCACACATGAAACATTTATCTTCGCACTCACTGTACACACCTTGCATAACCCCTACAAGTAAACCCTATTCACTCACTCACACTACAGTCTAAGTTTCACCCAACTCTCAAAAAACACCTTCCCAACACTCATTTCAAAACACCTCATCTCACACGGACAAGCAATTACTTTACATACCCACACTTCTACGTGTACACAAACACACACAAGTTACTTAATATAATAAACTAAGCAATAATATCCACACTTTAATTACATGTACTTATTATTCACTACTATGACAACATATCATACATGAAATAAATGGTTCGTACAACCATATTCACAATATCTATCTGTGCCAACACATAAATATTAAACTGATTAAAATGTTCAGTTAAAGGATGGTACTGTTAAATGTCCGTTCATGTCGCACACATGAAGGTCACACAAGAGTCAGATGCGTCGTCATCTAGGCCTCTGTCGCTGGATCCTCTCCAGGTCTGGTACACACACACGTGTAAGAAGGGGGTATTCGACTCAGGCGGCAACCGGCTTGAATATCCCAGGGTTACACATACCCGACCTGGCTAAGGTCAAGACTCCCATGGGACATCGTCGCCATCACGTCGCCATCATGCACCCATCCCAGGCTAGGTCTGCTCACGTCATGAAGCTCCATCTACTGAGTCGGTGTCACGACTTCACACATACACGCCCATCAGTAGGCTTTTGCTGTAACATTTGACGTGAATAATAAATACAACGCACTACATTTCACGATATTACTACATTATAGTGCTTACACTCCGAAACCAGACCAACACATGTATGCTTTCAACATTTTTATGGTTATATTACCTAATTGACTATTGCAAACAATTCCTTAAAAATTCACGACAAATAAATATTACACGAGTTGTAATATAACGCTATCATACATTTCACGCATCAATGCAAATCATACAATTTCCTCGAATACTCAGATTTCATACACAAAGCCTACATTGTATTCGCATAAAAATCATTCACAAAATCATACTCACGTTCACTGCAAAGAATTAAACATTCTAACCAAATAATAGAAACCATAAACAATACTCTATCACTTCTATATTACGCCCAAGTGACCATGAAATGTTCCACAAATATAGAACCTAACAGCAATATTAGTTCTAATGATAATAAATAAATGTACTCACGTCCAAGCGACCAAATATGACGACGGGGACGCTGTTGTGAAAGCTTAGTGTTAGGGAAAGGCGCTTATCCTTGCTTCGTAAGCGTAGATGGATGGGGAGATCAAGGGTTCTGTCAGTTCTGCAATTAGCGTCCGTTCTGGTCAGTGTCTTGTCTCGATCTGACAGCTGTCACCTGTCAGATTTGGCGGGTAAGTTGATCACGTGCCCCGATCACACCCGAAAACATGCGAGTATCACTGGATGGCCAATCCGATGAAACCCGATGTACGAGTGCGGAAGCACTGATCACTACAACGCTCTCTAAACTCGCTGTGCACCCAAACTACCGCCTCACCAGCCTATGTAGGACACACGCACGTGCTGCATGCTTTTCCTGCGCGCAAGCCCATGCTCATATACACTTGTTCGCTCGCTTACGCCTGGACTACGGGTTTTATTAAACTTGGTTGTGACAATGACACACGAGCTTCCAGAGTTTAATCAGCACCTGCTCCATCTAGCTGAGATACGTTTCGCTGACTGGAGATTCTGGAACATACACAGATGCAAACTACAAGACTATGTTTTTTCTGGAAATGGACGGATTGATCTTCGTATTGTATGTAACGTTAGCCATTAACGTCTGCCTTACAGGTTGCTTATGTGACTGCATTGATGCCGTACGTTCTCCTGACGGTGTTGCTGATCAGATCGTGCATGATGCCGGGATCTGGCGATGGTCTTCTGTATTTCATTCGCCCCGACTTCTCACGACTTGGCTCAGTTACGGTAAAATAAGTGTCTTCTCAACGCAGTACACATGAACTAGCTCAGTGGTTCTTCATACAATCCGTGCCATACTGATGTCACCCGGTTGACACTCACTTCTGTACCAGTATAGAACTTTCAACATTGGCATTATGATTTTGTCCTACATCCTTGAAAAACTGTCAAATGCCTTGTGACTTGCTTCATGAGACCTATCATGAGATCTATAAATGTTTGGTAAATTGCAAAATTAAATTTTGTCGTGAAGAGCCTCAAGGGTTGTCATAACCACACTCCCCCATTGTAATAGTTATATGTCAATATCAACGATTGAAGAAAGAGCAAGGGTGGTGAGATCTGCTGTTTGACATAATTCATTGTCTGACGGTGACAATTTCCTAAATTTCGTCTTACCATCAACAAAATAATAAGAAACGACGGGTGCAGCAGAAGTACCTGTGACTGGCTCTTACGAGCGCCAACATTTGTATTCTGCCCAAGTTTTTTGTTTGTTTTCTTGCGTGGGCATTCTGGACTTTCATCTGCAAAGTTGCGTATAAGCCCATGAGTCTGTTATTATATCGATGCGCTCATACAATATCGGGCTATTGCGGAAACCGTGTCGCATGGTGGTCGTCGTTTTCGTGTTACAGTTTAAGGGCGACGTGGGCCACCAAACATATTGAATTACTTTCTTTCGAATCAGTAAGTATTGCATTGCAACAAACAACAGGAAATCGTTAAGAAAACTTAAACAAGACGCAAGCATTTGCATTCCCGAAACATGAACTTCAATAAACAAAGCAGTAAAATTAACACTCATAGATTACATTTTCCATGAAGAAGATCCCTGTGCAGAGTGATACATGGTTTTGGGGCCGAAAACTGTAGCTACAGAAAATGTATCATCAACTTACAGTTTTTGAGAATATATTCTACGTTCTTCTACCCGCAGCACATTTATTGTTGCACAGCTCAGGCGTCTCCAAACTGCAAGGACCACATTTAGAGACCGCCTTGCTGATACCCCTACGTACATTCTGACCATACTATTATACAGTCAGGGAAATATTAAGATAATATTATATAATTCTCAAGAGAGCTAAATTGTCAATGGTTAACATTTAAACTATATATCAATTAGATGTAATTAGTGAATTAGGAAACAAGAAATTGAACATGGTCACGACCTACTAACCAAATATCACATTTAACATAAGAACCAGATGTCATTCGAATAAATGTTAATTAGAGGTTTTACACAAGAATCGTTATAGTTCCTTTTACCAGAAAGTTCATTCTTGATACTCCATCACATTTAATCATGTATATTTATAACAGGTATGGTTGGAAGCTCTTCTCCAGGCCTTTTATTCAATGGGTACAACGTTTGGCACACTGATCACTTTTAGCAGTTACAACAAATTCAATAACAATTACCTCAGGTAATTCCACATTATACCCTATTATCATCCTTGTACAACTTCCGAATTATTATAGCTCTTATTGGCATCACTTACCCCTTATTCTGCTTTATAGATTGTTTTGTATTCTGGATTTAGAGACGTGGCACTGTTGACAATCGTCGGAGAAGCGACCAGTATATTTTGTGGATTGGTAATGTTCTCTACTCTTGGATTTCTGGCTCACAGAGCACAGGTACCGTTATCGGAGGTGGTATCTTCAGGTATGCCATCCATAACAATACTTTAGATGTAAGTCTGCACTTCTTTCAGTGCCGTTCCTATTAATGTTTACGAGTTTTTAAGAACATCGTAATTTTATGATTATCCCGGATGGCACTCCACCCAACAAAAGTACTAGAATCTGTACTTTTCTAAGAGTACTTTACTAAGAAATTGTAATCCCAAATATAACATACGTTACATTTGACCACTCTCTAAATGGCATTGTGTAATCACAGCTTTCGGCCGAGGGATCCGTGCCAATTTAAACTTATCAGAGGGGCACACAAAGTCTGCAGTCTAGATTACCAGTTGTCCGACGTCCATTTTTGTGGAAGTCGCGCTGGCTGAGCGGGTTAGGCTGTTGACTTTGTGTGCTTGCGATTAGGTGCCTGACTCTGAGGGTGTGGTATTGAATCCCGGATGGGACTCAACCCAACAAAAGTACTAGAATCTGTACTTTACTAAGAAAGTGTAATCCCAAATATAACATATGTTACATCGTAATTTCCGATAACCAATTGATGTTTTTACTCAAAGTATTTACCTATATTGTTGAGATGCCGTTCCATCCGATTGATTTAACCAAATGTTCTATTACCAGGAGTAGGACTTGGTTTTATCATCTACCCTGAAGCTTTAGCCCAGCTACCCTTGCCACAACTGTGGTCTGTCCTGTTCTTCCTCACACTGCTGTCTTTAGGGATCGACACTGTGGTAAATATTTCCCTCGACATTATTCATAGTGAATTAGTACATTTTCAAGTCAGTATTAAAATAGCGAGTTGTACTTGTCGCAGACATCTAGACATATATATATATGTATGTAAAGTAATATCTTTATACATGAACCACTCCACTGGTAGATGTGCCTCTACGTATGTCTATCTAGATTGTACCTTCTAGTTCATTATCCAAGATTCGGAGATTGTTCAAGGAATTTTTGAAAGAGGGGGAGATGTTCCTTACAACGCAGTTGGGTTTTTTTTGGTTGTTGTTTTGTTGTTGTTGTTTTTGGTAATATTTCGGGTGTGTACTTGTCAGTGGTGGGGATTACTTTTAGTTTAAATTGGGTGTTATATCTGTAAGTTCTTTATAAGTATGTTCGTCATGAACGTACTTTACTGACGAGTAGTAGGACGGTGGGATTGTGTAGGTAGGACATCTGTTATATCTGTAAGTTCTTTATAAGTATGTTCGTCATGAACGGACTTTACTGACGGTAGGACGGTGGGATTGTGTAGGTAGGACATCTGTTATATCTGTAAGTTATTTATAAGTATGGTCGTCATGAACGCACTTTACTGACGGTAGGACGGTGGGATTGCGTAGGTAGGACATCTGTTATATCTGTAAGTTCTTTATAAGTATGTTCGTCATGAACGTACTTTTACTGACGGTAGGACGGTGGGATTGCGTAGGTAGGACATCTGTTATATCTGTAAGTTCTTTATAAGTATGTTCGTCATGAACGTACTTTACTGACGGTAGGACGGTGGGATTGCGTAGGTAGGACATCTGTTATATCTGTAAGTTCTTTATAAGTATGTTCGTCATGAACGTACTTTACTGACGGTAGGACGGTGGGATTGCGTAGGTAGGACATCTGTTATTCTCTGTAAGTTCTTTATAAGTATGTTCGTCATGAACGTGTTCGTCATGAACGTTTACTGACGGTAGGACGGTGGGATTGCGTAGGTAGGACATCTGTTATATCTGTAAGTTCTTTATAAGTATGTTCGTCATGAACGTACTTTACTGACGGTAGGACGGTGGGATTGCGTAGGTAGGACATCTGTTATATCTGTAAGTTCTTTATAAGTATGTTCGTCATGAACGTACTTTACTGACGGTAGGACGGTGGGATTGCGTAGGTAGGACATCTGTTATATCTGTAAGTTCTTTATAAGTATGTTCGTCATGAACGTACTTTACTGACGGTAGGACGGTGGGATTGCGTAGGTAGGACATCTGTTATATCTGTCAGTTCTTTAAGTTCTTTATAAGTATGTTCGTCATGAACGTACTTTACAAGCCATCCCTTCAAAGTAAACCTTAGTTTATAAATCAGATACTGTTCATGTCATAAGAATATTATTACAGTATCAGTATTTAATGTGTTTCTGTAAATTGTTTTATCTTTGGTCCAGTCAAGAAATTGATCGAAATTGGGATGTAGATATTTATGTTGTTTAACATTATATATTCCTATTACATTTCTTCAGGGTGGAGTCTACCTTTTCCAACTACTAGACTGGTATGCCTCCTCCTTTAGTGTGCTACTGATTGGCTGTCTTGAGTGTGTGGTAATAAGCTGGATCTATGGTACGGAATACATATACCTATGTTGTCTATGTCTGTTCTTTGTGTTACTAATGATCCAGTCGCTGTGATATATGTGCATAATACGAGCTGAAAAAATAAACTCAACTTTTAAATTATCGACGAAATGATTGCCCTGAAATGTCTTGCTGTCTAGAAAGGTAAGCGTGATGTTCACGTTTCATATGGTGTTTGATTCCGCAAAGACAATGGAGACAAAGCCCCTATGTAAATCGGTCACTTACGCATTTTCAGTTATGTGTGTTGTGACATTATAAACACAAAGTTTGTGAATTTCAGAACAAAAACAAGGTGGAAATTCGCTACCTCGTCTCATTAGATACACTCCTGTTACATTTACTGGTTATTGATAAATATTTCATGGAGAGATATAACAAATTGACCCGTTACCACGATCCTTAACGGTCATTTTCCCATCCTTTGGAAGGACATGATCAGCTTCATCCAAAAGGTGTTCAACAGTTTTCCATAATGATTGTAATCGGAGTATTACTTCTATTACTTTTTTGGCATGGCATTGCCTGTGATGGTGGTGGTGGTGGTGATATAGTTTTAGGGCGACTTGGAACAGAGTAGGATGTATTTGCGCCAAACACACAAAAACATGATGCTCGTTCAATAAAAGAAGCAGAAAATCAAACTGAAAAAGAAATGTTAAAACGGTTTAAAAGCAATACCTATATTTGGTTTAATGTGCCGACATATGCTTAGATTGTCTCATATTTGCCTGAATCAGTAACATTCTCTAATATAGCCCTTTGGATTGAACCGTATAGGATGTTGGGGCCCAATGTTGCAGCAAGGGAGAATGCATCGCTTTTCTCGAGCACGGCACTTCTAAGATTTTGTCTGATGTTAATATAACGGGGACACTCCAATAGGTAGTCTTATCACTGCATTGGTCACAAAGAGGTGATACTTCTTTATCAACAATACTTCTGTAGGCATTAGGTGTGCAGTGACCAAGAAAAAGCCTAGTTAAAACAACTTCATCACGCCTCTTACGACGGCGAATTTTACAACTTTTTGTTACGGAAGGACAGATACATATGTACATATGTCTTCCAGTAGATCCAACATCCCACAAGTTTTACCATTGAATGGAGACCGACCTCCGAATAGCACTTTCGAAATATCTTTGGCAAGGAAAGAATTCAAAGTTATCAACCTCATCCTTTAGCAATCCTGACTTGGCAAGATTATCTGCTGTTTCATTACCCTACAAACCGACATGAGCTGGTACCAATACAATATCACATGAGATATATTTAGTATTCAAATATGTGTTCAGTTTCAAAATTTCATAAACAATATCATATCTGGACCCATTTTACTATAGACTCAATAGCCTTTATGGCTGACAATGAATCAGTAAAAATGATTGCTTGGTGATTATATTTATCCACCCATCTCAGTGCTTGTAGAATTGCTATGAGTTCTGCTGCAAAAACTGATATATAATCATGAAGCCTGAACACATCGGAGATAATGTAATCGGGGATCCAGAAAGCACCAGCATCACGGATCATGGCCGAATCCTTGGAGGCGGCAGTATAAATGTGTGTAAACTCTGCATATCGTTCCTGAATAAAATCCTCAGAAATCGCTCTCACCATATTTGGGTTCATATCCTTCTGAACGATGGAACTGAGTTCATAGCATAGTCCTGGCTTAAGAAGAAGCCAAGGAGCAGTTTCAGAAGGTGCCCGCTACATAATATGGAACCTTTTGTCAAGGTGCCAGAGATAGACGAGGACTTGTCTCTACTCAGCGGCTCGAAGTCACGCAGCTACAGGGTAGAGGATACGGAGTTGGCTCAGCTGGATACCACTACTAGGAGGGTGTTCTTTGGCTTGGCAAGATCCCGTGGTATCAACGAGGTGATGATTAACACATTCAAGAACCCGAGGACCGACCAAGAACGGATGCTCCTGTCAGTGCTCGTCACGCAGAGGAAGGACCAGGAGTTTATTAACCACCTCACATCTACATCGGCGGGCATCACCCTGTTACGTCGGCAAGGTCTCCTCACATCCTGTACGTGGCCCGATCTTTACACGAAGCCTCTCCTACGCAAGCATTGGGCAGCTCCTACCTTGTTTGACGGTGGTATCCGGCAAATGTCCAGAGAGGTATCCCAGGACTCCAAGGATCAGATGTTTATCAAGTCGGTCCAGACCATGACCAACGCGTTCTGGCAGTCATCTCAACGCAACGAGTTTCGGTCCAGATTCTCGGGGATACAGCAGGCCAAGGAGAAGTAATATCCGGCATCTCGGGGTGGAAAGTCTAAATCTCTAACTCATCCTAGGTCATCCTAACTCCAGGTCATCCCGTCACTGAAGTTCAGGTTCGGAACGACTCGTCCGTTCCACTCCCAGCCGTTCCTGTGCAACCGTCAACCGTAGGTGGACGTCTAGGCTGCTCCTGGGAGAATTGGAGAATACTGGAAGACGTTCAAGTTCTACGCGAAGGGTACAGGATGCAGTTCAAGGCGACGCCTCCACTCACTGTCAACCCGCAGGTACATCTTTACCATCGACTCGCTGCTTGCAAAGAACGCCGTAGAAATCCTGGATCCAGGTCTCACCCCAGGTTTCTACTCTCCAATTTTCCTGGTACCGAAAACAACTCCAAGGAGAAGTTCTGCCTCATCTACAACATAACCCGTTTCACCCTAGACTGCTTGCTGAAACGGGACAAGTTCAAGATGCTGCATTTACCACAACTGCGACATCTCACCAGACCAGACGACTACCTAGCCAGCATCAGTCTGCAAGACGCCTACCTGCACATCCCAATACATCCCGCCTCGAAGAAGTATCTACGATTCTTGTATCAAGGGCAGCACTACCAGAGGAGGGTCCTCCCCTTTGGCATTTCCTCGGCCCCGTGGCTATTTACACGTGTAACCAAGCCCATCGTTGCGTATCTACATCAGCGGTTACTGCGCAGTGCATTCTACGTAGACAATGGAATCCAGGTGCATCAACTAGCAGATCAACTCAGACGTCAACTGCAATTTTCCATCCAACTACTGACGCAGCTGGGCTAGCTAGTAAACCTCGTGAAATCAGAGCTAGAGCCGTCTTAATATCTCCAATTACTCGACATCAGGAAAGAACTGCATCATGGTTCCAGAAGACCGGTGGTTGAGCATCCAGTTGAGTCTGCCAGACGCTCTCAACACTCCAGTACAAATAAGAGAGTGTCAACGTCTACTAGGTCTTCTCACGTCGGCACAGGCTCTCACACGCAGAGGAAGATTGCAGTTACGTCCGCTACAACGCTTCTTCAAGCCTCTTCTCGACAGTCTGCAGAGAATCGCCATTCCACAGCACTTAAAGGTGTAGATGGATTTACTGGATTCAAGTGAACAAAGCCTGTGATAGGATTTATAATAGAGTTACCTTCCCTAGAACACTGATAGCAATGACGTGTGTGAGGTTTTATGAATTTATTAAAAAGAAAACAAAAATGTGTTGGGATCGCACAAGTGTCATATTTTTCTACGATAAACATGAAGTTACATACCATATCTCAAGGGTTTTTTCATCTTATTTTGTGTTTGTTTCATGACCCAGCATTCCCAAGGTGGCGAGTCAATAACGAAGCATGTGACTTGATAAATAACAACCTCTTGTTTATGGCATTGAGTGACGTTTCGATGTAGATTGTTAAGAATCTTGTAAGGATCTACATCGAAACGTCGCGATAAACATGAAGTTGTTATCTATAAAATCGTATGATTCGTTACTGATCCGTTATCTGTAACAAAACAAAGTAACGCATCAAAAATATTCTGTGTAACAATGGATGTTCGTTTCAGGTTCCAAGCGGTTTAGTTTGGACGTGGAAATGATGCTTGGGCGAAGAACCCCGATGGTGTTGAGCATTTTGTTATCTTACATCACTCCTGCCATCCTGTTTGTAAGTAGACAAACCCCCTAAATTCTATGTACAAAGTAAGTGACACCCCCAATCCACCTGCATATCATGTACAAAATCAATGGTGCCCCTCCCCTTCCCCTCACACACACACACACACACACACACACACACACACACACACACACACACACACACACACACACACACACACACACACACACACACACACACCTAGTACATGTGGTACAAAATATATGACCATCCTTAAAATCATCACCTACCCAAACCATCCCCAAGCGATAATTATGAACGGTCCCAATAGTCAGCTTACTTAGTTAATCCCGTCATCGATCATGCTTTTAAGTTCACCTATTCCCCATACACCAGACGCCATAATGCAGTTTCCTGTCATTCCCTCTGTATACCCATTACGTTGACATAACCGTTAACATGCATACCTACAGTCGATTTACATGAAGGATATATCCTTGACAAATATGTCGTTATACATTGTCAAGACAGGACACATATTCAGTTTACCTTCATTTTCAGATGCTATGCTTTTCAGTTTCTGGTGACAAAGAGGATAGTAAAATATCATGGACCACAACAAATGCATTTCGGTATCAAGATCATTTGCACAGCATTAAAACATTAGTCACCCCTGTTATTCCGTGTGTACGTGACCCCAGCCTGTACAGAATGAATATGTTCATGACGTCTCAAGTGTAATAGATTAATGCTGATCGATGCCAACATTCAGATGAACCAAATGAAAACATATTAATTCTATATATTCATTCTAGGCTACTGATGTGAAATACCTATGCCAATGCATAGTTTGATCTTCTTAATATTTGTTTGGAGTGACAATGTATGTAAAACTGTGACAGGTAGTTATTCCCCTATTCAAATGTGACATTCAAAATTGTTGCATGATATTTCCTAAGATGTCAATGCAGGTTCATGTCAAAGGTTCCACTTAGAACAAGATACTGTTGTCTTCAGCTGTCTAAATATATGCTTTCTAGCAATGACTTACAGAAATTTTTCATATCAACTGTGACTTGTTGCAGTGGGTTTGCTGATTATTAGTTAAGCTATTTAGTACAAGATCAATGTCAGTAGAAAGAATGAAAGCTATAACATTGGAGTTACCTCCCTTAGTTGTTTACATTTTCGTCCCGGTCTAAGTGCCTGTCACCTCTGAAATAATGATCCCAAATGTAAAGACCCACATTTTAGACTTGTCTGCAGTTATGTGCGCTAAGTCTGAGACGTTTGCATAAGTCTGCATTCACCAACATACATGTGTATGAGATTTCTATATGATAAACTTCAAAACGTCAATTACCTTGAGGTCCAGAGACAGATAGTTTCTATCTTCAGGAAGCCCTCGGAGAGTTACGTTATGCTCCTAAAAAGTCTATGATCTTGTCTCTTCATGTACAACCCGTCTAGTTACATTGCATGTATGTTGCAAATTCAGCTCACATCTAGTCTGACTTCATGTTCGACCTGCCCAACTACGACAATTACTATGTGAAGATTTGAATATACAATGGCAAAGAAAACAATTTGAAGTATTAGGAATGAAATTTACTCCGGATTTGAATGATTTATGGGTTATAAACACAAAGAAAAGACTAGAAGAAATTAATAGATTACTAGCAACTTGGAGAAAAAGACATTAGACGCTGATAGAGAAAATTACTGTTATTAAGACATTGGCTCTTTCAAAATTAGTTCATATCTTTAACACTTTACCTACCCCTCCAGATGATTTTCTCACCGCGCTTGAGAGAGTATTTTGTAAATTCATCTGGAATGACAAAAATGACAAAATCAAACGGAGCACTTTAAAAAAAGATTACAAAATGGGGGCCTACGGATGATTGATCTTAAAACCTTTGTTAACGCAATGAAACCATCTACACTCAAACTATACTTAAAAAAACAAATCCTGATAACCCATGCAATTTTCCTTTTAAGGATATGCTAAAATATGGAGCAAATTTTCAGAATATAGTTGCAGTTGATAATCCTTTTTGGAAAGACGTATTAAAAGCATGGAAATTATATTGTATCAAAAATACCATAGATGCAGAGAACATTAATGAAATCTTAGCCCAACCTTTATGGTTGAATAACAATTTTAAAAACACAAATCACATCATTAGTCACTGGGCTAAAAGTGGAATCTTGACGATCAAAGATCTTTGTGATGAACATGGGTTTATATCCTTTGATCAACTGAAGCTTAAATTTGATATAAAAGGTACTCACTTAGATCTTGGATATGTTATATATATTTTACCTGAACCTTGGAAAAAGACTTTAAAGGAATATAGATATATAAACATTAATGACCTCACAATAAATTCACTCCAAAAGGATTTCATATCCCCAAGAAAAGGTTCAAGATTATTCTATGATAAATTGTTATCTGAAAATGTTAAACCTCTCATGTGCCAAAATGGGAAACATTATTTGACTGTATTGATTTTGATTGGCATTTGATTTTTCATACTTGTAGAAAAAATTCAAGAGATGTGAAACTGTTAGATTTTCAATATAAATTTCTTCACGGAATTGTTTATACCAAAAAAGAACTTTTTAGAATGAATCTGGTGGACAATACAATATGTTCTTTGTGTAATGATTCTGTTGAAACCTTACGCAATGTATATTGGGAATGTGATGAAACCAATACTTTCTGGAAGAAACTTGAACAGTGGATTACGAAACGTATCCAAACACTTAATTTGACAAAATCTTTGATTTGGTTTGGCTTTTTAGGTAAGAACCCATTATTGAACCGCATAATCTTATCTGCTAAGATATATATTTACACTTGCTCTTTGACAAAAACTATTCCAAAAGTTGATAATTACTTAAGGATATTGAAAAACATATTTACCACTGAATCATTCATCTCCAGAAGAAATAATAATGTTGAAAGCTTTTTAGTCAAATGGTTTCCTCTCATCCCTGAATTTAACCCTGAATGACTATTAAACAAAGAACATATCACTAACATTGATATTCAATGTACTTAGTTTACTATATCGCTATTGAGCCCACTAGCTTGTATGTGCACACATTCCTCTATATGCTTGTACTCATCATGTTTTTGTACTCATCACATTTGGAACAATAAAAAAAAAATTTAAAAACTACGACAATTACAAGGTCCACAGGAACTTTTACTTGACTTCATGAACTCCCCGCCGAATTACGTCAGTTAGGTTAGGTTGATCTCGTCATGTTCGACACGCCCATCCACGTTTATTAACTTCTACACGCTGGCTGTTCTCTTATATCACTTTCCATGAACCACCCTCCGTTTCTCAGAAGGCTCTGATCTATTTTCTCATTTGATCGTGTAGCCCATGATTTAAGTCCTATATGTTCTTCAGGCGGGTCTGATCCTGTCTCTCTTCAAATACGACCCGCCCAGTTATGGAGCATACGTGTATCCTTTCTACGCCAAAGTTGTTGGAATCCTCATGGCGGTCTTCATGGCTGCACCGATACTGGTGGTGCTGATCTACGAGGTTGTTCAGAGGGATGGGACGATCATGCAGGTATGTTTACTGGGTGGTACCGTATGCCATAGGTATTAAAGAGGAGGGTATTGAAGAAACAAATTCCAGAAAGTCAGAGGTAGTGAACACATTTATCAATCAAAGCTCAAGTATAAATTTTTGTGGTGGTTTGATTTAGATATTAATGTAATAGAGTTCTTGCAGACTGTGTGGCAATATACAGATTGTTCTATGGAGGACTGACTATACGTGCCATTTGGTTTCTCAGTGTCACTTAAAATGCAGCGGTGCAATACTTTTGACAATATGTATATTTTGTGGCAGGTTTATTTATGTAATAAGTTGCAAAGAAGGTAAAAATGCGGCAAAATGTTAAAGAAAACTGCAATCATCTCGGTTAGGTTGGATTTCGAAATGACTTCGATAATTCTAACATAATATCTACATCATTTCGGGGTCTAACATTCAACTCATACACAAATAATGATGCCGTGATCTATTTTGCATGTACAATCTTTTGAACTAAACAATAGCATATGACCAGGTAACAACTGTAGATCTTAGAGTTATGTGGGTTTCTTTGATCTAATATGTAGTTCTCATCACGACTGTGTAACCTAAGAAGGGGGGCGGTGGGGTAGCCTAGTGGTTAAAGCGTTGGCTCGTCACGCCGAAGACCCGGGTTCGAATCCCGACATGGGTACAATGTGTGAAGCCCATTTCTGGTGTCCCCCGCCGTGATGTTGCTGGAATGTTGCTGAAAGCGGCGTAAAACCAAAACTCAGTCAGTCAGTCAGTCAGTCAGTAACCTAAGAAGATGCTTAATATCTACATAAAAGGAAACATGCTACACTTTTTCAAGATTGACGATAGCTGTAAAAAAAGGTACTTTTAAAATTAATCTCAACCTAAAGAAACTTCACAATATGGCTGAAATACTGCTGACATGACCTGGCTTAAACTTCCTCACCATCGCCGTTTTGAACCGTTTGTTAAGTTATATCATGGCCTGTGTGCAGGTTTATCACTTTGGCGAAAGCCACGAGCAAGGAAATAGCGCTTATAAAGTTACAAACATAATCAGGGCGAATACGGGATTCGAACCTACATACACATTTTTCTTGCACAATTACATAAGTGCACATCTAATTAGACGGTGTGTATGCCAGTGAATTATGTAGGATCATTGTTTGTTGACTAAGAATATGCTTCCAAATAAGTGGCGTGACTGAACAATACATTTTCAACAACTTTTAATAAAATCACTTTCGCTCGCGGTACAAGGATTCTGAAAGGATGATGCTGTAAAGTCGTTCGAACGTTCACGGTTGGTCTGTTTCCTGTTTTACAGCGTCTCAAGCTCGCAAGTCAACCGTCCCCCGACTGGGGCCCCGCTCGAACCGAACACAGGATAATCTATCTTGAAAGAGAGCTTTCTCAACGAAGGATATTAATGACACCAACTGAAGCCTGAATAGATTCCTCGGAGGATCCGAGCCGGTAAACGGATACCTTGGATAGGGACTGATCCTACCTTAATGTTTAAATTTCAGTATATTTTGCTTTAAAATAAGAAAAGAAACTACAGTTTTTCAGCAGGACAAACTTGATATATCTTAAGTTGTAAGCTTTTCCCTGTGTTACGATATAAAGTCATACTTATCTTGTTAAGTTTTTTAAATAATAAGTGGAACTGGGAAGTCAGCCTTGAAGTTCATTATGAATACAATAAAGAATAACAAGAAACACGTTCGCAAGATTCTTAGTGTGCATGTGCGCATGTGCGTGTGCGTGCGTGCGTGTGTGTGTTTAACGCTGTTGGAAGATACGAGGAACCAGTGCCCTCAACCGCCAGAATTCCTTCCTCCACTGACACGGGGATGCAACCAACGGCAAACGGGTTGCCCAATTCGGTCGCCTTTTATGACCAGCAATGTGGTGCAGTGGACACATTCTATCCCGGGGGAAGAGCTGTTAGCGTTACCCAGCACTCACCCCGAGGAGGCTGCTCTTCACGAGTGCTGTAGGGAGAGAACAGAAAAGGACATGAGTGACAAAAAAACTTTGAAAAGGCAACGTAAATTAAGAAATTTAGTGCAGTGTCTACAGGCTTTAAAATCTACAGGCCCATTTTGTTAAAGTCAAATCAATAAAAACAAAATAGACTACACTGTACACAGTTTCACAATGTTTCTACAAAATCAATTAGCGAAGCCGATGTCCCAGAGAGAAGTTTTTACTTGTTAAGACTGGTGTTGACATTCCTATGCGCAAAGCGCTAAAATACCAGGAAGTGAAACTGTACGTTATTGTAACATGATGGATCATGGATGATTCCCGAACGTTAATAAAGAAATAAACAAATATACTGGCCACATAAAGAAACTGTGCACACAGAAAATATAAAGATAGGCAGACAGCGTCTTTATGCATAAATAAAGGTGTGAACATAGCAAGTATTGGAGACAATCAAACGCTCATGCCAGGCGACGTGACGTCATTGGTGGTGGCCTATGGACTTGCAATGTGTTACTGCACGTGCAGCCTGTGCAGCTGCACACAACATGTGAAACTCAGAAATTGCTGTCACTGTCGAAAGCTTGATCTTTGGTCATTCAAACGTTCACAAATTCACATTAGAAGTCACATGCACATCATTTCAGAGAATAAGTGAGTGAGTTAATATTTAGTGTCACATCGGCAACATTGCAGCTATATCGTGACGAGAACAATTGATATCAATATTAAAATCAATAAATTTAGAACGTAAAAACCTGTCATCGAAGGACAGTATAAATACTAGATTATCATAGCTCTTAATTTAAATCTATCATAAAAATATATCACTATAAACAACAGTACAATTAAAAACGGGCTATAGATAGCCAGAAACTGAAGGCTGATCATTATGCTAGGAACCATGGGGACAGTACTTTGGCTACCTGCTTAAACCCTAGATGGATTAATATCAACCCTTCAGCAGCTGGCGATTGTGGTCAAATTTAGCCAACACCAAAATAACAAAAATACTATATTTTAAAGAATCTAGTAGATTTGAATTTCCGTTGAATGTTTCGGGACTTACGTACCCTCTCAGGACTTTCAGAGAGTGAGGTTTCACGTCAAGATGATATTTTCACAACTGGAAGGAAGGAAATTCGTCTCTTCTTTTCTGAATACCAGAAGATGATTCTTCTAATTCAAATTTTCGAGAATGAACGAGAATACATTATTTCCAAATCCTGGAATCTTATTTATTTGATTATCCGCGTTTCAGCATCATACTATTTAATTAAATGTGCCTTATTGTCTTGTTAGCAACGACCCTAGTAAACAATACAAATTAGAAACAAGCATTGTCACTAATGTGACATAATCACCCGCCGCAAGTTATCAAACTTATTTAATGAAGTGAAGGTCGTAATTTAACATGAAGTTAAATGTCAACAAAAACATGACCAGTCAACTTCTGTTGATATCTTGCTCTGTAGTTGTTCAAACGCACAAATATTTTCAAGACTCACTTTGACATAATTGTCTTAGTGTATGAAATATGCAAAAATAGTAATAAAGAAATTGCTTATTGAAAAACATTCAAGGAAAGTCTTGAAAGTCTATGAAGAAAATCCCCATGAACTGTTCTTGAGATATCTCGCCAACAATCTTAACATGCAGTTTAACATGCTGAAGTCTTCAAAGTGTCGCCGTGACCTTCAAAATTATGTGCAAGTCACTATATCCCCGAACTTGCACCTTCCCTTGATGAAGCTTGGTGTCAAATATGAAGAAAGTCCAATGAATGGTTCTTGAGATATCGCGCTGACCATCTTTACATGCAGGTTAACATGCTGAAATCTTCAAAGTGTCACCGTGACCTTGAAAATTATGTGCAGGTCACTATATCCCCCACTTCGCGCTAAACGCGCAGCGGGGGATAATAACTACATATCCAGCCCGAGTCAAGCTGTCAGCAGACTGAACGTAAACTTTCAAACAGAACATCAGTATTTTCCACACGCATGTCCCTCTATCTAACATTTCGAGATCAACTGGAGCCTTTGTAAGGAGGAGCGCCGTCACGAGTCGCCACCTACACAGGTATATATTTAGGTCGCTTTTAACATTTCAGAACATAGCTTGTTATGTGACTGCAAATATCAGGGGGACAAAAAACTGATATCAGTGAACAGCCTCAATTCAGGGAAGGAAAACCTACACATGTCTGGAGGTTTAGGTAAGGTTTCAGTCATCTTTACATTCGTCTTTTTTAAGAGGGGCAATTCATGTCTGTGTTACGCTAGTATTTTTACTGTCCATCGTTGACAGGTTTTACTCTTCAGAATGTTTTCATCTTCAGAATGTTTTCATCTTCAGACTGTTTTTATCTTTATTGTATAAATTGTTTTCGTCACGATATGGCTGATATATTGCCGATGTGACGTTAAATATTAACTCACTCACTTTAGAGGGGAATTTCAATGTGGCAATTAGCGACATATTTCTTGTTGTTTATTTTATCGGTCCTATGGCGAAAGGCCGTTAAGAATGAAGATACTTTTAAAGGCGAGAATTTATAGATGAAAAAGATTAGGAAACAGGTGGCTATATAAGTACATGTGAAACAACAACAGTGACAAGATTGGAAGGGACAAGGGAAGCCAGTAGGTAACTGGTAACATCAATAGACAAATAGAAGCTACGGATTAATCCAGGCATCAATGATAAGATAACAGTAGTGGAACTTAACAAGGGACGCCAATGGTTAAGCACAATGACACGAAAGCCAGCACAATTAAAAATAATAACAAGTTCCAAGCGCTAGGCAGGTAATATTATCTGCACTGGCTTCCATGTCATCGTGCTTATCACCTACAGGACTCTTTATGTCTTGATTAGTTCCTGGCTCCTATTTGTTTATTGCCATTAACCACTGAGTAGTACCCGATAACCCGACCTGGCATGTCTGATATAGAGACCCAGAAATATAACGTCGAAAATAATATCTATAATGCAAAGCTAATATAGTTTAGCAAGTATATACGAGACTCTTTGTATTATGTTCGGTTTAGAGACTCAACATCATCGGTTAAACTAATATGCCTTGATGAACATTCCATTAAGCTAGCGTGACGTGAATATTCGCTCCCATTTTTCCAGTATCAGACAATCTGAACAGAATTTAGAAAGAGTTCATGTTTCAAAAGTATAACTAATACTTATATGAGGACAACTAGGATCGATAGTTTGCGATTTATTGCACATTTATTCTATTTTATCGGACCCGTGAAGATCCGAGGTTAGAATTGGTCTTTAGCAACCGAGCTGTCGTAAGAGGCGACTTACGGGATCGGGTGGTCAGGTTCGCTGACTTGGTTGACACAGGGCATCATATCCCAATAGCGTAGATCCATGCTCACGATGCTGATCACTGGATTGTCTGGTCCAGACTCTATTATTTACAGAGCGCCGTCATATAGCTGGATCATTGCGGCGTTAAACAATAACCAATCAAGAGTATTAATCGTGCTGAATATACTTCACTACAGTTGATACAATAACGCTTCTGCATGCTGCATGTTTTAACTCAGTCTGGTTTTCTGGCACTAACCAACATAAATATTGCTATTATTTCCACAGGGCTACAGCTCACTTAAAATGTTAAAATATCGGTGAATAATTACAATCTTTAGAAATATACTATATGTTCATAAAAAATGCACAATTTCTGTCTTATAAACACCTTTAGTTTGCTGTCTCTAAACAGTACACAGCATACAATGCACAATGCCACAGCAAGCACAAAGGAAGTTAGCTGTTCAATTGATTGTCAATGGATTATTTTCGAACCAAATGTCGGAAAAACACGATGGCCAGTATCAGCTTACTAGCGTTGTACTGTATATATACATGTACAAGGTTGTCTGTGCAACAATAGGTGAATTTCGGTTTCTGTATCTATAATCACATTTGCTTCTCATGCATGTAATTTTATTAATTCATTACCCTTAATCTTTTAATCATGATTTCTATTTGTGCAGACTATCTATCAGCGCTAAACACTCAGATTTGTCTGCTGCCCCCAGATACCTGGGTGCTTTGAATCAACGGCGTTTCTTAAACACACATGCACAAATTCTATCTGATAAACACCCTTCCACCAGCTTTAGGGGACTATTTGGGTCTATTTCTAAGCCTTTTCTGAAATAGCATATCTAAGTATGCAAGCTTGCGTATTTCCGATACATCAACAAGCGAGCTTTCCATACAATCAAGGGTAATGTTTGTGTCGCTTTTTCTTGTTGCTCATGAGGATGAAGGATAATGAACAGGATCGCAACAATAGTCTCGGTCAGAAGTGCAATCTTATTTTCAAAATGTTCCATAGCTCGCCAGTCTGTGTCTACCACCTCCCTGATCATTAAACTTTAAGATATATATACCACATACGGTGAACAGCAAAAAATAATCATGTAGCGTGACTCTGCTGTACGTCCACTTAATGTTCACTGGTTGGTTGAACATGATAATTATCCCCAATGCTCAACAGCACGAATTCAACGTAGTATTGTACGTGTGCTAATGCGATGTCCCTGTGGTTGGTTTGTATGAATGGGAGCACAACTGCACCTGGTCTCTGTAATGCGATGTCCCAGTGCTGTTGCAGCCGTTGCCATCGCCGTAACGAATCTGTTTCGTAGGTGGATGATCCTTATTTGCCGGTCTTCCCGTTCAGGGCCTGTCATCAGTCCTTCCTGTCTGCCGATATCGTTATACAAGCCTGGATACCGTCAGTGGCGTACGGCCGAACCTTCTGGCAATTTCGACTTGTGTTGACCCCATTTCGGACATGTACTCTCTTTCTTCACTTGCTAGTCTCGGCATGTCTTTGGTGTGTTATTATCAACTTTGATACCATGCCTTTGGTGCTTAGCTAATAAGATGGCTGGTTCCCCTGTGTATGCCAGTGAATTATGTAGGATCATTATTTCACGACTAAGAATATGTTTCCAAATTAGTGGTTTGACTGAACAATACATTTTCAACAACTTTTAGTAAAATCACTTTCGCTCGCGGTACGAGGATTCTGAAAGGATGATGCTGTCAAGTCGTTCGAACGTTCACGATTGGTCAACCGCCCCCCGACTCGAACCCCGCTCGAACCAAACACAGGATACTCTATCTTGAAAGAGAGCTTTCTCAACGAAGGATATTAATGACACCAACTGAAGAGCCTGAATAGATTCCTCGGAGGATCCGAGCCGGTAAACGGATCCTTTTAGAACTGACCCTTCCGTAATGTTTATATTTCAGTATATTTTGCTGTGAAATAAGAAAAGACTCTTCAGTATCTCAGCCTGGCAAAATTGCTATATATATTTTCAGTTATCAGGTTTTTAATAATGTTACAATATTAAGTCATCGTTATTTTGTTACGTTTATTAAATAAAAGTGAAACTGAGATGTAAGCCTTGAAGTTCAACGTAAATATAATAAAGACTAAGAAGAAACACGTATGCTAGATTCCTCGTGTGCATGTGTGTGTGTGTGTACATATATACACATGTATGTCTCTCTCTCTCTCTCTCTCTCTCTCTCTCTCTCTCTCTCTCTCTCTCTCTATAGACCAGCAACAGATCAACACTTGATACCCTTAGACCTTCAACAGATCAACACTTGACACCTATAGACCAGCAACAGATCAACACTTGACACCTATAGACTGGCAACATATCAACACTTGACACCTATAGACCGGCAACAGATCAAAACTTGACACCTATAGACCAGCAACAGATCTTTCTTGCTTCATGCTCTCACTGGTATTCCGATTCGAACATTTACAGTGATATGGATAGAAAGGTGAGCATATTTTCACCACCAAAGGCAAGTCAATTGTGGGTCGGAAATAAACACGCTAGGAGGTCGACTGCTGCTGTAGCTAGATTCCGAAAAAAAACTTTCATTTTGCAACATCTTCATGCGTGGCCGATCACGTTGTCCCGACTTTTGATAGTATGTATGACGTACGCGAAACATGACCAGGACATTGTGTCTTGAAAATAACATGTTTAAAAGGCACTATATCACACCACACTTCTCTAAAATACATAATGCATTTCTCTCAAAAATACTTACTATCAACCCTCAGTGAAGTTACCATAAAATTTATTCCAAATATAATCACGTATTTAGACTACAATATTAAATAAAAAAGTTCGAATGAATTAATGCACGGCTCCATTAAATCGACTCTCGCGCCCTCTACGGGCCGTACATTATTTAAAGCGAGCGCTCTTTACGAATATCCTACGCACAACTTGTGATTGAAACCAGTTTTCGATGCGACAGTTTTCGATGTACGGTAATTCTTTACAGTCCATGTATTTCAAATATTCTCTGTTCGGAAGCTGTTCGCCTCGAAGTTTCAATTATCGATTTCGGGCAAGTCTTAAGGGATAATAAGTCTTTAATTGCATCAATAGGAACCTAAAGTGAGTGCATATGCCCCAATATATATTATATAGGCCAAAATATTGTCGAAAATGTGTGACATTGTGCCTTTAAATGTAGATATTTTAACAGAAACGCCAACGATAAAAACACAATATGAGTAAAAAATGATCGTGAGCTAATGTGCTTTTAACTCTTGGCGTCCCATTTAGGAATTGTCCCTGTGCGGTTATAATATATAACTGTCAACTGTTACCCTCACATGCATTTGACTATGCACAGCTTGAATCAAATTTGCTAAGTTTGTACATTTGCATGAACACAGTCCTGGGGTTCCTTTCACGAAGCAACCTTTACTAAGGTTAACTTTAACTCCCATTCTTTAACATGGCATTAAAGTTACTTTAGAGACTTACGATCACCTCAGTGCTTTGTGAAAGGAGGCCCTGGTTAAACATTTCATGAATTGTACAGTTTTGCTCACCTCGGTCGTTTAAGTCTGCTGATCATGTGGTCGTTTCAGTCTGCTGATCATGTGGAACTATTGACTCTCATCAGACGTAGCTTATGTGGAAAATACATTCCCAAAAGAGGGAGATCGGATGTTATATTTAATTCTCCCTTGAACGGGTTACGTTGAGCATCACCACCCCTACACCACCAGTGGATCCTGTTCAGTGCACATTTAAAATGGTGACTTTTGTTTGCTGTCATCTTCCGTATACAAATATTGTACATATATGTAAGAAGACAGGCGCGTAGGAAGCCATTTTTTCGTGTAAGCCCGGTAGGCTGCGCCTAAAAGCATGCATAATGACTAAAGAATGGAGTAACGCATAAGTTTTCGTTGAAGGGCGACTGTAAATATCTGCACTTCAGTTATGATTCATATATACTGTAACAAAACATTCACATACATGTCGATGGAAAAACAATCATCACTGAAAGAAGAATAACATATTTACTGTACATGGTGACAATACTGGTAGTACGACTAGGTATTTTTGGCAAGAATTAGAAACTATTTTTTTTAGCAACAGTCATGTGTAAGCCCGGGCTTTTTTTTAATGGTAACTACGCCACTGGAAGACTCATTCTATGTCAATGCCTTTTTTTCTAAAATAGGTTGTGAAGTTTTGTGGATATTATCTCTTCTTTGTGGAAAATGTTTTAAATGATGACTATTACTGGTGGATCATTTGATACGTAGATGTAGAATATTTAAGAATATGTGTAAACTCATCAATGCGTTTAATTTACATGTATGGGGAAATGCCTATAGATGTACATTACAGTTCCATACGTAACATCCCTTCCATTGCTGAGGATGTTACCCGAAAGACCATCATTGAAGCATTGATATTTGGGCGATGAAATCATTTGCCAAGCTTTGCACTTTTCCATCTTCGCGCATGTACGCTTATCTGTGAGCACTAGCACAGATTAATGTCGGCTTAAGATGGATAACTCTCTCAAACACAATAATCTGATATGGCCCATATTGTAAGCTGATTGAATTCATGGTACCTAAGACGGCTTATATTGTGTATGATCTTTAAGACAATAGTTTTAAATTATTTTCAAGAAATAGTAAGAGTGAATACGTTCATAGTGTTTGTGTCGGGGAATATTGTAAGACTCATTGAGGACATGGTGTTCATCGAGACGATCGTACTTATCACGGCGGCTTGAAAATAACCGAGTCATCTCGATAATTCTGCCTCATCGACAAACACACAAACGGATATCAATTCCTTCCCCAGTGCAGAAATTCAAAAGTACGAGCGATATACTTAAGATATGCCCAAATTCAAAACATTATGAGACAGAAAATACTATTGACCATAAACTTAAACATGTATCGTTGCAGAATTAAAAAACAGGTTATATTTCCTTGTGCAATAACGCCCTCGTCCCTCTTCTCCCCCGAAAAGAATTCCCTGAGGAGCATTTCCCCCTAACATTTTGACTTCATAATTATGTGTGCACCACTCTCTCCCCCCCCCCCCTTCCCCCTTTCTCCAGGAACCGCCCCTGAGATTTACATATGCAGTACACTTTGTCACGGTCAGCGAGAGAGTGAGTTAAGATTTATCGTCACATCGGCAGTATTTGAGCCATATCGTGGCGAGACCAATGATTTGTTATACATAGTAATCATTGGTAAATTATTAAAACCTGTTAACGATGGACAATAAAATAACTAGATTATCACAGATATGAATTTAAAACTAGTAATTAAATCTAACACATTTGAACTATAGATGACAAGACAATATATAAACAGGCTATAGATTGCCAACAACTGAAGGTAGATCACCATACTAGGGACCATGGGGCCTTTCAGTACATTTGCTTCCTGCATGGACCCTAGCTGGAATCTTGCCACAAATTAAAAGAACATATATTCTACGATTAAAATAGTAGTAGGTTTAAATTTACTTTGAATGTTTTGGGACTTACGTACCCTCTCAGGAGGACAATAATTTTACAATACTTGTCACGGACAGAGGGATATCAACGTTGCATAAAATGATAACATATCGTCAACTAACAAACTATACAAAACTTATTGTTGACTACTCAGCTTCTAATTTCCCTTATAACCCTTATACTTAATTCCAAGCACAAAACATTATGTACATTATAGCATAACATTTTTCGTTTAACATGAGTGTTATTAAGGGTAATATGCGTATCTAATTCGGGTGCATATTTTATTCAGCAAACTTTTCATATTTTTGAAAACATTCTTACTTAATATGATAAAACATGTTCCTAAAACGATATCACCGTTTCAAAGTACAAATCCAATGTCTTACAAACGGTAGAATCTATCTCATGTCTTTTAATATATCAGTAGGAAGATATTTACCGAAAACCTTCAAAAACCCAATAAGTACAGCAAAAATCTGAATTAGGGTAAAACAATGAACAATTCCAAATGTTATCAAAACGTTAAAAGGCTGATAAGCAGTCGCAGAAACTGCTTGGTTTTAACATAGCACTCAGCAATATCCCAGCTATATGATGGCGGTCTGTAAATAATCGAGTCAGGACCACACAATCCATTGGTCAACAGTATGAGCATTGATCTACACAACTGGGATACGATGACATGCGTCATCCAAGTCAGCGAGTCTAACCACCCTATCCCGTTAGTATTACGACAAGCATGGGTTGCTGAAAAACATTTCTAACCCAGATCCTCACGAGTGCATTCATCTATACGTATAATTATGTCTCGTAAAAGATGAATAATTGATAAAATATGTAAATAGGTAAATATTTAGATCCTTGTCTAGATAAAGAAATAATCCGTTATATCGAAAAACAAAAGGGGCCTATAGTATAGTTCCATAGTAAGGTGGCCTCACTCACCACCATTTATATTTATTTTTTAATATTATTTTTTGTTCAATTAACTGATTTTGGTGTGCTGACGGTGATTTGTCTTTAATTTTGTCGAATGATTGAACACGCCTTAAACAGCTACGATATTTTCCCGAGTGGTTAAAGTACATACACTTTATGGAGGGCCTGGCTCGCACACGGCTGTGAAATGAGGTTGATTTGACAGCTGCACGTCGTGTCATGTTTGACAATATATGTTTGTGCGTGGTGAACAGTAACGAATTCGTCATTGCAGAGTAAAGTTTGCTCATTCGACAATGTCAAAGCCTGAGGGATTAGCTAAGGGAAATACCACGAAGGAGGAAAATGAAGGTCCGAAAAGGGACACGTGGGTTCAGAAGAGGGAGTATATTTTGTCTATGCTTGGCTACAGTGTTGGATTTGGATCGCTGTGGAGATTTCCCTACCTTTGCAACAGAAATGGAGGCGGTGAGTGAGTCAGTCATACTTATGGTGTTGTACAACATGCAGAGCACCAAGAGTTACTACCATACATTATAATCAGATCTTTAAATGGCACACAAGGAAGAGATGCACACAAGGAAGAGAGTTTTTATGGATGTCAACTTGTTGCCTTATTACATTTGTTGTTCTTACATGTACTGATATATGCCGTCTGCCACATATCATTCATTCACCTGGTGAAGAAGTAAGGGTTTACTCCGAGACGTTGTGTTCCTCATAATAAAGAAGTGGAGATCCATAAACACTCTCTTCCTTATGAATTGTAATATATAGATCTACAGTGTATTTTTATACTGATTTATGTATTTTAAGGCTTTTATAGAGTAACAAGATAGATGAATATATCCTATGATATATCCTATGATATAGGGGCGGTGGGGTAGCCTAGTGGTTAAAGCGTTGGCTCGTCACGCCGAAGGCCCGGGTTCGAATCCCCACATGGGTACAATGTGTGAAGCCCATTTCTGGTGTCCCCCCGTGATGTTGCTGGAATATTGCTAAAAGCGGCGTAAAACCAAACTCATTCAGTCAGTCCTATGATATATCCTATCATCAAGGAATTGAAGATATACTTAAACACCATGCGCAGTAACAATGGTACACATATTATTCCAACAGGTGCCTTCCTCATCCCATATTTCACTGCAATCATCCTATGCGGCATTCCTTTATTCTTCCTGGAGGTTTCCATCAGCCAGTTCTCCAGCAGGAGTGCCACCCATGTCTGGGTTCTATGTCCACTGTTTAAAGGTAATTTGTTTTTTGATATATAACAACACAATATGAAGGGACATTATTTCCTAAATTTAGACACGCCTAATAATAAGTGAGTGAGTTTAGATTTACTCCGCACTCAGCAATATTCCAGCTTTATGACGGCGGTCTCTAAATAATCGAGTCTGGACACGACAATCCAGGGATCAACATCATGAGCATTGATCTACGCAGTTGGGAACCGATGACCTCTCTCAACCAAGTCAGCGAGTCTGACCACCCGATCCCGTTAGTCGCTTCTTACGACAAGCATGGGTTGCTGACCAATTCTGACCCGGATTTTCACTGGCAGGCTAGAAAATAAACAAGTAATACCGGGTCCCTACGACGAACGTTTGGTATGTACGAATTACTTGGTCGCAATGTGACATTTATTACGCACGTCATGACATAAAGGAGCACCCTTATGAATGTACATATGTGAAAGAGGTCGGTAAGGTGAGCATCGTCTTTATGTTTAATGTGTGAAATAGTTTAAAATATTCTCAGATGACACAAATTCCAACACCACTGAAATCGAATATGACAAGGTTTTATATATTCTATGCTTCATACATTCCTAAAGTTTCGGGCATAGGTTGATGGAAGAATACCATTTTGTCAAGGATAATCATATATTTGAACGGATCAGTAATATAACGGCATTGTGGTAACATCATGTGGCTTTTTAGAGTGCACCGACCGCACCATCGACGTATTAAGGTAATTAGCAACATATGGTGAGACGATATGCCTCACCAGATATCACTTTGGCATTCTGTGTAAACATCCAATGTCTATGCAGTCGCTTTCAAGAACAGTCACAAACAAGAACGTTTACAAATCTTAACCCCGATATCCCTAACCCTGAATATCAAATAGTTAACCTCTGAGTAAATTCAGGGTTATTTCAATTCTAAACGAGGCATTAGCACAATCTTATGGAGTGGGATACGGTCCGTTTAAGCTTTTTAAAGTTTAGGTGCTGTTCAGGGTCATAAGTATGAATGTTTCAGTCCTAGTATTCAGGTATACCACAACCAGACTATCTGTACATTTTAATCTATGACCTCTCTGAAGTTTCTCCAGGATGACAGCTTTTGTTCACTTGATCACATAAGCAAACTTGAAAATCACACGCATTGTAAGATCGGGGTGCACCACATACATGTATAGTCTTAAAAGAGGGAAATGTCGCTATAAGAGTCTTTGTAGCTACTGCTTCACCATGAGAATATCACAGATGTTTCCATCATTTCCTCTTGATCACAATAACTGGCATAAAAGTTTCGTAACTGATTAACATTCAAACTCAGCTCTCGGAAACTGAGGATACTGTTCAAAAGCACTTATGGGACGAACTTAGTCCAGTGGACTATGACACATGCGTGTTTTGGTTTGTATATATTTCGACATTATTCAAGTTAATGTCGGCGCGATGGGGTAGCCTTATGATTAAAGCGTTCGCCCGTCACACCGAAGACCCGGGTTTGATTCCCTACAATGTGTGAAGCCCATTGCTGGAATATTGCTAAAAGCGGCGTAAAACTAAACTCACTTAATCACTCAAGTTAATGTCACATGTATGTTTTACATTCTTGTTGATTCTTGCTGAACTCATAATGGAAATCAGTGTTTTCTCTTATTTGCAATTGATTGATTACCTTTTGTTGCAGTCATGCATTTCCTGAAACAATTCCCCGAAAATATATATTTACGTATTAGAGTAGTGTATCGCTATATCATTTGAACACACATTGGTATTTTATAACCTGAGGCTTTCGAGGGGTTTTTCAGCTAATATCATATTTTATTACTTACACATAAATCCTATCCTGTTTTATAACAGAACACATACAGTGTAAAAATATACTCGTGAACACGAATCTAAACTATTCAGTATTGTAGCAGCTAGCTGCGGATCCCACAATTATACGTACGATAAGCAATATGAAGGTAAGAGGGAAATTATGCTCACACATCTGAATCACAAGGATATAATGTTCCAGTGCTATATTCCATTATGGACACGTAAATCATGTCCCTATCCTCATATTATCATATATGTTCCCTTAAGTTTATTTGTATAAAAATATACACACACTAGGAAGGGTGATATATATGTCCTAAAATCATTTCCATTACAACAAGGACAACTAAGGCTTAAACTGTGGCAGTTGTTATGATAACAATCCATTTTTTATATTGGTGTTAGATAATATAAGCAATACATAAACTGCAAATCCGGTTCAAGCATTCACGACAATGATGTTTTTGCATTCAACAACTTACGACGGTCATGATTCTAAGGTGAAGATGCACGTGAAATAAATTCCCAAGGTTAGTTCATATCGGGAACGATATACAAATGTCAATGTCATTCCATGAATTCCCTACTGTTTTTTAGGGCAAAAAATCCGGATTTTGGTCCTGTGAAAGGGCGAATTGACATGTTGACATTACTACAAACGTCAAAAAACACATCATGATGAAACTGATTACACAGAGTTTCTAACCCCGGCTATGTTTCACACCATTGTATTTAACCCCTATATATCACGATCAGGCGAATGGCCAAATATTTCAATACTTTTACCACTTCCTGCGAAGCGCGGCTACTTTCCATCGGTTTATAGAATAGTTGGTTTTAATTCGCAATCTGTGGCGAAATACATCACTGCATAAAATAAAGCGTTTCCATAACGCTCCCTCATGTTGGAGCAAGGTTTGGAATTGATTCTCTGACAATGGGAGACATATCTCCGGTCCGGGACCCATGCAGCTATGGCTGTGCCAAATGTTTGGTATGGGTGGTCATAAAAGGACGTATTTCCATGTTGTCATAATGCCTTGTATTTGACAGGTTTGAAATTAATGGAAATGGAAACGACCATGCCTCAACAGTTTCAACAGTTCAGGTTTTCAAAATGATGCTAATGACACGCCTACTTACAATGCCAAAATGGCATTGGTGGTGATTGTTTGTCATACAACAGATCTTTTGCAGTTGAGATGTACTGGTTATACTGTAGTGTATGTGTACATTGTAATCTGATATCAAACCCCAATGCCGAGTGCTCACCTCAACCCTGGTATTAGACATGTTGTGAGTAGGAAAAGTAGATTTAATAACCTTTAATGGACGTGAGTACAAATATGAAAAGGACAAAAGAGTTGACCAAGCTAGTGTATGTAGGACAGTGAATTAGAACTTGAAATAGTCTTTACTGATCTTAATAAAAGTAAGACAATCTACGGTAATCATGTTTGATATATAATAAAAGCGACAAAAAACCCTGTCCACATCCATAAGTAATATCTGCTGAAAGCAGAGTCGATTGTACATTTCCGACTATATTGTGAACATGTGTTCGTTTGTTTGTAAATAATCAAATCTGGATCAGACAATCTAGTGATTGGCATGATGGGATACGAGCATGTGTTATGGATCACTGTCAAATAGTGATGATACCAGGTGTTCCACAAGCAAAGAACCGCCTCCGTGGTGTATTTGTTAGAGCGTCCGCCCGGAGAGCGGTAGGTCGCGGGTTCGATCCCCGACCGCGTCATACCAAAAGACGTTAACATATGGTACTTGTTGGTCCCTGCCTGGCGCTCGGTATTAATTGGTACAACAAGGACTGGTCGGCTCGGGGTCAGTATAATGTGTCTGAGTGGGGTATTCATGCTTCACTGCGGCGTGGTATCTCAGTGGGCTAGCACCATAAAACCAGCTTCAGTCTGGGCTAGTACAAGCAGCCGCACATACACATACACACGCATGCACGTTGTCATATGAGCGAAATATTCTCAAGCACGACGTTAAACCCAATTTCACCTCACCTCACCATAAGCAAAGTCTACTCAGTTGTTCCCCTGAACAATATTCAGAAACTGATGATAGGGAATTTCGTGGGACATCATTTTTGTCACTGATACATCGAATTTTGTAATGTCCTCCACTTGTCCACCTAAAGACAATATGAAAGCTTTGCTGAGAGATTAATGTTGCAACTTTGATCAAACAACTTCTTAACATGTCTCTTCGTATGACACTCTCAGAAATCTGGGTGGAAAGAGCACGCTTGATTGTACCTCAAAAGTGGTAAAATGTGAGCACCAAAGGCTGGAACTGTTGGAATATTGCTGGAACGAAACGTTGACACTACTGGAACGGTGAAAACATCATTTTCGTCATACATCCTTGTGGGGAGTTTCTTGTCACTCTGAATCTTTATGCATATAACCAAATTGGAAACACGTTAAGTCACTTGTTTTCCACGTTTAGATGGCTAAATCGGTGGAAGGGAATTGGCTGTTTGATGGTTATTGGACGATATCAGATCAACAGATCTGCAAGGAAGGGAGCACAATTGATGCCCATGGGGATGCCTACTCAGAAATGTTTTACCCCTATATTTTACAAATTTTAAATAAATATGTGTGGCATGACTGCCATTGACATGCCTGTACCTACAGACATTCTTATGATTGTTATTAATTCAATTTAAATTCAGGAATTGGCATCACCCAGCTAATCAGTAGCATTATCGGATCCATGCCGTACGCTGTCATCACTGCCTGGGCAAGTTATTATCTGAGCCAATCCTTTAGATCTTTATTGCCCTGGACAACGTGTGACAACTGGTGGAACACCCCCGTCTGTATCGATAAGCTCACCAACGACTCAGCTGAAGTCAGTTTCAACAGCACCGTGGAACAACAACTCCTCCACAGGGCTGTATGGAGAAAGCCAAACTCTACCATGACGGCGTCTGAGGAGTTTTGGCAGTAGGTTCTCCCTTATTATATTTTGTGCATTTAACATTACCTGATGTAATGTGTTAGGAAATTGTATACAGACAGAAGTCAAGTATATGTATGTTTGTGGGATATAAACCATTTGCTTCAAGACAATTGTCTATTTAGGATGTACTACACGCAAACAAAATGCTCGCTAAAATGCCCCCATATACCCTTTTACCATTGCAACGTCCTGGGTTGTGAATCACACATTACTCAACAGCTATCGTCCTAATTAACCCAGTTCTTGTGTAAGCATATCTTACGATGTTGTAAACTCAACTGGTTGTGTTAAAAGGTTCAACACCCTTCGTGTATCATCTGGGATAGATGAGTTGGGATCTGTGGAGCCCCACATGCTTCTCAGCCTCTTCTGTTCCTGGACTTTAGTGTTTCTGTGTGTGATGAAAGGAGTGCGGTCTCTCGGGAAGGTAAATAATAGCGAGAAAATCAATAATCCATTGTATAATAAGCATGTTAATGATCACAATCAAACAAGAAGGTAAACTTACTTCGTCTGTGGCACTCATCACAAACACATGCAAAATCAAATCTATTGTTCACCTGAAAACACACGTAAGTGTATGGTTCAAGTCAAAAGAACTGCTGAGATAGGGTTTAATCCATGCCATTGAATTATTTTAAACCATCGTGTGCGATTACTTGATTACTGGAATGATATATTCCACACGACGTTAGCCCACAGGAGACATACTATGAGTGAAGGGGGCCTTCTCTGCTAGTTAACCGTTGCAAAGGGGACATAGCATGTCATTCCCACATTACCTGCAACCAACAGAGGGTACATCAGGCGATGTCCGCCGAGTTACGTCATACCCAATTACAGTCCACGCATGTCTTAGGCATGCTATCTATAGTGGTTTACATTAAACATAATGGAATATCTTACATGTTTTACATTGAAAATAATAGAATGGGTCAATCAGAATCCGATATTCATCAACAGAAATAATATGAATTTATAACATATAAGAATAACTCATTATGGGCAACGTGCTTCAGGTAGTGTACGTGACCGCTGTGATGCCGTACATCCTCCTGACGGTGCTGCTGATCAGGTCGTGCATGATGCCGGGATCTGCCGACGGACTTCTGTATTTTCTTCGTCCAGACTTCTCACGACTAGGTTCAGTTCAGGTATCCTATGGTAGCATTAGGGTGTTTCTGTCAATTACATGTACATGTAGTTGTTGGTTGTCTTCTCGATACCTTTTCTGATTAACAATAATAAAAGTAGCGACAAAACCCTTCCCACATTCATAGGAAATCTCTGTTAAAAGCAAAATCGATTGCACGGTTGTGACTATATGATGAGCATATATTTGTTTCAGCAGTAGTGCAGCTGTACGATGTTATTTGTAAACAAATTGAGTCTGGACTATACAACCCAGTTATTGTCACCATGCGATACGATGACAGAGCATGTGTTTGTGAATCACTATGAAATAGTGATGATACCAGGTGTTTGCAAAGTGAAAGTCAAACTCTTGGACATCGACAATATACTTATTATTGAGCCTTCATATCTTCATTAGGATTGATATAAACTAATCACTATGATACTGTCAGTCACGAAACCATAAATATATATTTATTTAATGCTAAACAACATTACAAGTGTTGCCTATTCAAGGCTCTTGTTTTGTATGCATGTGAGGAATTAGGCCCACTGTCACATCAATGAACCGTCGATCTTGTTAACTTTCATCACAAAATCAGTGTATATGATCATTACAGGTATGGCTTGAAGCTCTCCTCCAAGCCTTCTATTCCATGGGTCCAACGTTTGGCACGATCATCACTATTAGCAGCTACAACAAATTCCATAACAACTGTCTTAGGTAATTCCAGTCAACTGTCATATACAGTGTACCCTGGTTATAATGCCTGCGTTTGTCAAGGAGAAAATATGGCATTATATCCAGGGTGGCATTATAACCAGGCAGGGCAGTTAGAGGCCCTTTGGCTTCAAAGAAAATAAGTCATTACTTTGTTGATCAATACCTTTTCTCCTTTTCAATGTCTAAGACGCAGCCAGTGTAATTTGGGGACAGTGACCTTTGTTCCAAAAAACATTGCCAAATGGCATTGTAATCAGGGTATTATTAGGGCAGGAAATCCGTTCTGGCAAAAACATGGCATTATAACCAGGGTGCACTGTACCTAGTAACAACGACGTGATGTATGTATAATTAGTAAGTAAATGATGAACACATCGCGATAATTTAAAATATATCCAATATGCCATTGTCTTCACTCAATCTGATATATATGTTTTGCCTGTATTTATTCTTTTGTTCTGCATTTAAGAGACGTGGCGCTGCTGACCGTCATTGGAGAAGCCAGCAGCATTTTCTGTGGATTGGTTGTGTTCTCTACTATGGGATTCATGGCTTACGAGGCTAAGATCCCTATATCGGAGGTAGTCTCCTCAGGTAGCCCAGCCTAACTATGTTTCATCCTTAGCGTCGGTTTCAGTGTACAGTCGGTAAATGGAACATGCAGATACGATATACACAGTGTCAAAGCCTTTTGTAAAATTATCTTGAACTATTCCTATTAGTCTACGGCCGATCAGGATCGCAGAGTTGGTTGATGGCGTGTCAACGCGCATGGACCATTTCTCGTTTTATCAATCACTGGATTGTCTGGTCCAGATGTGATTGGTTAGAGGTCATCGTCTTAAAGCATAAAGTGCATTTTGCTTTAAGGGTTTTTCTGATCCCTGACTCTGATTGCTAAACAAAATGCGTTCTTTGGGCGTTCTAGGGGCGTTTTTCGCCAAAGTTTCTTTAAAACTCCACGCTTGAAATTTCTATTTCCCCTTTTCTCAGGAGCAGGACTTGGCTTTATTATCTACCCTGAAGCTATAGCCAAGCTGCCTCTGCCTCAACTGTGGTCATTTCTTTTCTTCCTCACACTGCTATCTTTGGGAATAGATACACTGGTAAATGCAATTTCATTCAACTTTCTTCATGGTTCAGTATTTCTTGTGCAACGTTCAAGTAAACGGCACATGTGTCAATCAAATGATACCAGATGTTCGTGAAATTAAAGAGTAAACAATTTACGTTGTATACACCAGACAGTGTGTGAGGTCAACGACCCAAATGGTAAATTAATGATAATGGCATTTATGGGCACAGCATACCTGATCTAGCACTCCACCCATTTCCCATTCACATGTTTGACGTATATTTATTTAAATATATTTTGTCGAATTTATGCTTATTCTTTCGTTCATATTTTGCAATAGTTGCATTCACTGCAACGATAGTGCATTTCAACATTATTTTCTAAAGATATTTTTCTACCTATAGCAAGAAGAATGAACAATTATTGTGGCAATTGGTCCATTTGGTGCTGTTTGCATTGTGCGTTTGACATTTCCAAAACAGGGAAGCTGTATATGTGAAAGTACTTTTAATTCAAATCGGAGACCTTTATGTCTTCCATTATTATAGATTCCATGTGAATATGAAAAATATACTTTTATATTCCTAATTTGCTGTTTGCATATTCAGCTGGTATCTCTCACTCATTTAGTTTTTGGCAAATATCTGTTACTCTCCGGCGTTTTTCCGAAGTATCGAAGGTGAAACGATAGTTTTATGTTACGTGAAACTCATAAACTAGATGTGAGTGAGTGAGTGAGTTAAAATTTAAAGTCACATCGGCAATATTTCAGTCATATCGTGATGGTATAAACGAATGCGACAAAACAGTTTGACAGATGGTTTATATTGTATGTATCTTGTCATTTTATCACAGTTTGGGTCAATCGAGACAGTCATAGCCGGGATAGTAGAAGCCTTCCCACAGCATCTCAAGAAGAGAAGAGTGCTCCTTTCAGGCGGAGTTTGTCTAGGCATATTTCTACTCTCTATTCCTTACACGACAGAGGTGAGATATCAAACACATGTTTTAAAGGGATATGTCTTTCCAGGTTGGTGTGTTCATGTTAAAAAGATTGAATGCACAAGTAATCCGATTACAAGATAAACATGACGTGTTTCAAGGTATATTTCTTGAAACCTCCGCGCATCAAATATTAAATGATTCTCCTAAACACATCATTTTACTGACATTGAACATTGCTCGAAGTAGTAGCGATTGCCTTCGAGACAAAGACGTATGGGCTGTCATTACGTCATGATTTAATTCCCACCGCTTCGTTGAGAAGTTAATACGTATGGCTAGCAGGCAGAAGATGATTATCAGAAAAACAGAATTTGTGCTGATTGAAGTTTATAAAACGTATTACACATCTAATTCTCTGTCGATTGCACCATGCAAATGCCATTTCATTTTATCAAATTTAAAAATGATAAAGATATGCTTGTAATAATTTACAATATACATTCTTAGTGCGAGGTGAGGAGCGCCCGATATTTCAAGGTTTTCAGTTCAGTAAACAATGTTAACAAAATCACCAAATATTTACATTCTTTTAACAACTGACATAGAGGCACCTGGTGAAGGGGAAAAGCCTAGAAACGTTTTGTATATACCATAAAGAAGAAGTTGACATCCATAATATTTTGTCTTATACTTGAATACCAACTTCTATATGCCTCTCCAGAACCTCAACTGACATATTTGCTTTGGATAAACTCATGGATCTTATTCTCCTCAGGGTGGAGTCTATCTCTTTCAACTTCTAGACTGGTATACATCCTCCTTCAGCGTCCTGCTCATTGGCTGTTTAGAGTGTCTGATAATCGGCTGGATCTATGGTATGAATATGAATGTGCATGTTTCTTTAAAATTCTCTTTGTTTCATTAACACTAAACACTGGGTTGATACTTCGAGCTGAAACCTACAAGGGATCCATTCAACGAAAAAAACAACAACAAAAAAACACGAATTTGGAAGGTCTTGTAAAGAACATGACGATAATCCAGACTCAGTTTATCCCTTCCGTGTTACTGCACAAAGGTGTGCGCGCGTCACCTTTACTTATGCATTGATGATTATTATTTGCACATGCCAATATGCAAGGCCGCAATACAGCTGAAATACTGCTGAATGCGGAGTTAAACAACAAAACCAATATACAAGGTGCAAGTGTACGGTTCTGGATCGGATCAGTCAGTAGCTTGGGTTAGATGAGAGTTTTTTGTCCATGAATATGTTTATTAAAAGAGAACTACATGTATAAGTAACTAATCAGGTGAGCATGGCGACAGCCGTGTCGTAACTTAACCCTAGCCAGGCTGCAAGTAACAGTGCCTGTCGGGGTCTCGGGATCAAGGCTACTATATCAACGGTCACCTGGCACGGATGAAGTGATAACGATAACACACAGTAATTTAATGTGAAGTGACACGGTTGCACAGCTCGTTCAGGCTGGCTGGCAGCTAATGAACAGCATCATTGTGATGAGATCTACAATGGTGACTAGCATCGTTTAGAAATATGGGTATTGTGTGTGAGTCTGAAAGGATTCATGTCGTAGCTGTCCGATTAGTGAAAATGGAAATTGAATCTGATTCTCGACGGTTTCTTGTCGAAGCTATACTGTCCTGAATCTGTAGCCATGACAGATTGAAAGCGTCATAATATGTCTAATGTTACAAGAATCGTTCTGATAATTCCAGCATTTTCCCATTATCCAATATAACATTTAAACCTTTTGAAGAATGCATTTGAAGGAAGACTATACAAGGCCTGGTGGGCCTCACATACAAATGTGATTGAAATCATTGGAAATCATACGTATCTGTACTCGTGATCACCAAATGAATCATGTTTAGCGGTATCAAATCATAATACGCGTGTATACACAAAGAACTTAGTTAAGCACCCCCTGACATATCTCACGATTGAATGAGCCCCGATCTGAACCCTTTGGAGCATATCTGGGACATGATTTGTCGCCGTGTGCAACAAAGGAATCCTGCTGTGCACAACCTGGCCAAATAGGAAGCTGCCTTACACGGACAGACAGATTTTATTCGATAATGTAGACCACGTGGCCCATGTTACAATGAAATTAAGAATAACATTTTAGTGACGATTTTCTTGACATAAACAGTTTTTGTATATACATAGAAGTGATTTTAATAACAGTTTCAATTTTGCAATTGAGTATATTTGGCAAAGTTAACTGGCCAATACATTTGTGAGTTGTGTAATATAATGCAAACGTAAGTTATTATAATATTCACATACAAAGAAAACATGATCTTCGGTTTAATGAGATCATTACTGCAGTAATTACAAATGCTATTTTGAAAATCCACTTTTTTTCTTTCGTAACATATTAACTTGGAAATTGTGCAAATTTATTCTTAATTTACAAAAAGCACGGCTTAAAGATTTATCTTCTAAAAATGTAATATATCCTTCAACGTTAAGTAAAGATTTCACATTTGAGTAATGCTCTAAGTATTTTGATGACGACAATTTAGAAAACCAGTCTTGTGCACTAACATCTTGTAACCTTTCATTAAACTAATGCATAACAATTCTAGCATCACCAACACTTTGATAATTCCATATATATGCATGAAAGACCATCAAAACATAGAACATTTTAATACCTGTTACCCAGTTCCGTTTACCTTCTTCATCTAATCTTTTAAGCAAAATATAACATTGTGCAGGGTATCTAGACCTATCCATAGGTAACAATTTTATCCAATATTTAACAGCTCGTTTCCGGCTTTGAACAAACATATAATGCCGACCAGTTTCACCTAAAATAGCAATATTTGAGGCATATTTACCAACACCTAGAAAATATTTAAAATATGAAGTCTGAACTTTTTCAATACAAGAATGATATTGTAACTCCCAAATGTCGGAGCCATATAAAAGAATCGGCGCAATTTTACTGTCAAAAAATCTTAGAAACATTAGTAAAATTATTTCTATTGAATAGTTTATACACAGGAATACAAGCTTTCGTTGCTCGTGCAGCTAGACTTTCACAGGCTTTCGTCCAAATAAGCCTAGAGGAAAAAAATATAGTCAAGTACTTACAGTAGGAGGCAGTTTTAAGAAGTTTGCCACAATAGAACCAGCTGCTTTACACGAGGAATGGCGTAGACGTTGAACGTTACACAAGAGGAAATATTCTACTATAGACTTCTACCTATTAGTGACGTTACGGCAAAAAAAAAAAAAACTATATATGCTCTTATCACCTGCAACACAGAAATTTATGCATAGTCTGGCCTCAAAGAAGTAGTTAAAACAAAATGGTGGCGAGATGTCGCACTAAACATGGTTAGGCTTGGTTAATTTTCTTTTGGGGTTTATACTTTGCTGTGGCTGAGGATTGCTATGCTACTCAGTTTCAATGTCTGTTTTATTTGAAATGAATTAATTTAAAAAATTCAATTTTTAGCAAACCTGAACCAAACTTTTTTTATGGTTATTGACGGTGTTTTCATAATTCAGATAGATAACCCACTGACAACAGTGTACTCGATCATGCAGGGAACCACAGTGAACCCCACGGTAGATTTGGCTCGTATTCACTGTACTAATCCATGTGAAAACTCACTTTATCATATTTATGATGTACATTGTGTGTTCACCAACTGAAACTTTACGCCAAACAGTTTCCTTTTATATGTATAAATATATGTATTCAAGACTAACCAGTTGAAAATTGATAAAGCTTCTCCAGGTTGTCACAACTTACATATTCTGATCACATTAAGTGTTTTTTTCAGCTTCGCCGCGCATCTTTTCGACCTTGTGTGCACATTATAATTGGATGTTTTAAGTATTATGAAGAGAGTGTTGTAATTTGTAATGTGGCACATCTGTAAATAATATAATACTATATTATTAAACTCTGTTTCAGTTTTATTACTCGCCCGTTGAAAGTACCAAAGTTTAATTACAATAAGCATGGAGTTGAAAACAATATTTCACACTTCACCTCTCTAAAAATATATAATGTATTTCTCTCTATCAGCCCTCAAGGAAACTACCATTTAATGTATTCCAAAATAAATTACAATTACAAAAGTTCGATTACAATATTTAATAATAAAGTTCGAACGAATTACTGCAAGGTTGCATTAAACCGACTCTCGCGCCCTCTACCGGCCGAACATTATTTCAAGCGAACCCCATACAGTTATGTCCCTTGGAGCGCTCGTTGAAAATATCCTATAATTCCTGAGTCCTAGACAAAATGACGCTAATGCCTAGCGCAAAAATATACGCGCAACTGGTAATTGAAATCAGTCCGGCAAACACCGACAACACCGGAGTAATTGTTTACATTCCACATATTATATGGCAAGTGTTCTCTGTTTTGGAAGCTGTTCGCCTCGAAGTTTCAATTATCGATTTCAGGCAAATCGCAACGGATAATAAATCTTTTTTTGCATCAATAGGAAGCTGAAGTGAGTGCATATGCCCCAATATATATAATATAGGCCAAAATATTATTGAAAATGTGTGAAATTGTGCCTTTAAACAATTTATAATACCAAAGCGAGTGCAAAGGTGCGGCGGGAACTGCTTTCACTAATAAATATTGAAAACTCATTGAACACATTCAAACTCATAGCACATGGAGATGAAAGATCAGTGAGAGGAGCATATGCTTACTCGATTACCCCTGCAACGCTGGCGTCCCATAGCATTTTTTCGCCTGTATAATATTTAATTCCCAAATTTCGCCATAGGGTATATTACGTGTTCGTAAACTTGTGGTTCAGGTTGTAGTGTGATCGAAGCTCAACAGTCGTAAATCTGAGTATTATTATGGGAGTTACGATGATCTTAGCACTACGATAGCCTTGTTTACGGAACAGTACATTCTAATAATACGTTTTCATTATTACTGCGTATGAATTTTAATTCTGATATTCTTTATCGAATTATGATGTAGACGACAGTGAAATATCAAATAAACAGACAAGTAGCAGATTAAGTGACAACGAGCTTGTCTAGTATTCTTTATATGTACAGGAAGCTATGAGCTCATTATAATGATAAACTAATTATACAAAACGTCTGTTATTCACCCAAGTCATTACCACAACATCCTCAAACAATGGGTACATATGACGCTTTCATAATCCCACAAGGTCACTCTTTAACATTGAGTTGGACAATTTACCGTAGGCGTCACCCTTGAGTTGCAGGATTCCATGGTTGTAAATGGTGGTCTTTTGAAGAGGTGAACAGGTTCGTTGTCTTGAGTAGCCTTTTAGAATTGAAGAACGTTTGTCTGGCAGTCAAATGTTTGTTATTTCGTTTTCTAAAATATGTGACAAGCACATGAGCATTACTTTTTAAGACACTCGCTGAGTCATTGTATTACACCTCCCGTGGGGGTACGTACGTCTCAAAACTTTCAAGGTAAATTAAGCTTACCGAATATTATAAAACGTAGTATTTTTGTGATTTTAAATTCGGGATAAATTTAGCTACAATTACTGGCGGCTGAAGGGATGATGTAAATCCGGCTGGGGTCCTTGCAGGTAGCAAATGCACTATAAGTCCCCGTGGTCTCTAGTATGGTGATCTACCTTCAGTTGCTGGTGATCTATAGCCCGTATTTTATATTGCATTGTCTTGGATTATAGTATAAGTTGTAAATTACATGCTAGTTGTATATGTCTATCTGTGATACACTAGTGATTTTACTGTTCGTCAACAGTTTTTTTAATTTCTAATTTTATTGAACTTTAATATAATATTAATTGTTCTCGTCACGATATGGCTGAAATATAAATTATCGATGTGACGATAAATATTAAACTCACTCACTCATTGTATTACAGAGAACATATAACAAGTAAGCTGTGCTTCAGTGCTATGTTAAATATTTGCTTCAGGTTCCAAGCGGTTCAACCTGGACGTGGAGATGATGCTTGGGCGACGAGCCCCTACAGTGCTGAGCTTCATGTTATCCTACATCACCCCTGTCATCATGTTTGTAAGTACATCTAGCCTACATTGGAGACCGCCACCGTGGTATAGTGGTTAGAGCGTCCGCCCGGAGAGCGGAAGGTCGCGGGTTTGATCCCCGACCGCGTCATACCAAAAGACGTTAAAATATGGTACTTGTTGGTCCCTGTCTGGCGCTCGGCATTAATGGGCACCACAAGGACTGGTCGGCTCGGAGTCAGTATAATGTGTCTGAGTGGGGTATTCATGCTTCACTGCGGCATGGTATCTCAGTGAGCTAGCACTATAAAACCAGCTTCAGTCTGGGCTAGTACATGCAGCCGCACATACACATACATACGCATGCACGTCGTCATATGAGCGAAATATTCTCAAGCACGACGTAAAACCCAATTTCACCTCACCTCTAGCCTACATGGGATGTTATAATGTACCTCATATTGTAGTTACGTAAGTTAGCCTGTTTGTAAATAGAAACAACTAGAATCTGTCTTTCCATACCCATAAGAAATCTCTGTGAAAAGCAGAGTCGATTTAGAATTCCGAGCATTAACATACACATGAATCACTACCAAGTAGTGATAACACTAAAAGGTGAACGCATCCTGCCCAACCAGAGGCACTTGTCATGGACACATGCAGTGGTGAGTTAGTTGCTAAACCCAGTCAGCACAACACAGTTGATTTGAACAGCATACTGTTTCCCTTTCCCATCTTGTTTGTAAGTAACCCAATCTGGACACATGGCTAACACAGTCACTACTTGTAATGTACAACACACTGACATTCATTGCCCCTGTCGACCCGTGAAGATCCGGGTTAGAATATTGATCTACAGTATCCCATGCTTGTCATAAGAGGCGACTAACGGGATCGGGTGATCAGGCTTGCTGACTTGGTTGACACATGTCATCGGTTCCCAATTAGGTAGAACGATGTTCATGCTGTTGATCACTGGATTGTTTGGTACAGACTCGATTATTTACAGACCGCCGCCATATAGCTGGAATATTGCTGAGCGCGGCATAAAACTAAACTCACTCACTCACTCATTGCCCCTGTCATTCTGTTTGTAGTTAAACATACGTTTAGTTGCTTTGTTGCTTTGTTAATGTCTTTGATGGCTAACCACGCGCTCAGAAATATTTCATCTGTATCACGGGGGTCTATAACTGAGTATGCTGCAACAATCCAGTGATTGATCTACCGAACTAGGATACAATGACATGCATCAATCGAGTCAGGGAACCTGACCACCTGTTAGTCGCCTGTGACAATAACCATATGCATTAGTGACAGGAGACGAGTTCTAACTTGGATGTGAAAAGTTAGGGACCTAAGTTAGTGATTTAAGTGGACACCCGTAAGTACTCTTTGGAAGGTGTGTGGTAATACTGCTATTACACGAGGCATTCCGGGAGGCAATTAAGAGTCGAGTCCCTTATTTGCGTCAGGATCTACCTCTTGTTACTTCGAATAAGTGATTCTGACCAAGCATGAAAGGGAATCACTTAACATCACTTATATACATATCATCCACCAATTTATGTTCCAACTAAACGCACAAGAAACCTCAAGTGACGTCAAGTTATTGTTATAAGAGATCCTTCTACTTTATGGTAACCTAATCTCCAGGCTGCCGAAGCAGAATCTACAGAAGAATGTAGGGACTTTCTATAGATTGTCCCTCGTACCAGACACAGTTTCCACAGAGAGTGCCTCTTTTCTGGAGATATTGTATTTGAACACATGCAACAAAACACAAACTACCCAAGGGAATGTGTGGACTGGTGTCAGATCAAATAGCTTACTAATGCTTCAAAGAGATGGACGTAACATTCCTTTCTCCAGCCCAGTGAGTGAATAAACTAACTAGCTGATGATCAGATTTCTTTTTAAGAATCTTTTTTAAAGTACTTGTGCACCAGCAAGACATGTTTTACGATGGTTTTCTAAGGTGAATAAAAAGTGTATGTTTTAAAGACTCTGGTGAAAGTCAGTGAAAACATAAGGGTTTATCTGAGAATATAACATTCTGAATAACTCCCAAATTAGTTAACTGTATACTTTTATTCCACAGGCGGCACTGATCCTATCTCTCTTCATGTACGACCCGCCCAGCTACGGGACATACATATATCCAGTCCACGCCAAGGTGATAGGAATTCTTATGGCAGTTCTCATGACTGCACCGATACCAATCACACTTATCTACCAAGTCGCACAGAGGAAAGGGACCATCATGGAGGTATGTTTACCCTTATATGGGATGTGCCATAGTCTATATACAATACACTCTCGTTATAGAATACTGCAGTTTGTCAGGTTGTTTTATCTATATATTTGAGTGTATACGCAGTTCCTTAGAATGTGGAGGAACTGCGTTTACTCTCAATAGATTAGAAACTTGACACCCAAATCATTGGTACAAATTGTGATAATATCTCTCCGCCTGAGGAAATTCTTCTTATACTCTGTTTTGGCACATTGATTTAGACTCAGCGATCCATTCCATTAACTGTATGCAGGCCCGTCCGACCGTCCGAGACGGGATAGATTTCTGACGGACGGTCTAAATTTACAGCTAGTCAGCCCGATGGTCTGGTAAAACTTAAATAAACAGTTCCATACATCTGAGTAAATTCACCATATCTTATAATCTATTTTTCAAAATGAGTGTTACATATAGACTTGACAATTACTGTTTAAACATTGAAATATCGTATCGCAAGCTCAAAGCACTGTGTTGATATATATTATCACTAAAACAGCGACACATATCGATGCACGGAGTTCTGCAAACACAAAGCACTGCTTGTACATTTCAATATTGCCGAAATGCTGAAAATTTAGTTATTTCCTCAAAATTGTCTGGTCTGGTTAAATCCATTTTGGGCTGGTAACATTTTGAAGTAACCAGCCCTGATGTCTGGCTGGGTTTTTGGCTTATTTCATACACTGCTGAATGCTTTCTCAAAGTAGATAACCGGTGGTTACTTCGGCGGCGTTTTGCAGTTCAAAATTTCTGCTGATAATTCTGCGAATGGAACAATGACAGGAAGCAATATCGCTGTCAAATGTCAGTTTACAACAGTTTGCCTGTCACATGTAATCCAGATTTAATGGTACTTACGCTCCCATATTGGTCATGGCCAACAATGTTTCTGACATCTGTGAATCGGAGGTAAAACCTTGATTCGTCTGTAAACATTTTGTATCGCCTGGCCCACATCAGTGTTTGAGGCCTTGGTTCAGTTGTTTTGGTCTTACCCTTCCATGGACGCCTCTCCTTAAGGCATAGAGTTGGTTTTAAACGGTCCATGTTGCAATTCGGCCTGTTATTGTACGGAATTCCCTATGAATAAAGGTGGTATATTTGAATCTATTGCGAAGTGCAATTAATGTAAAGAGGCGACCTTGTATGGATGTCGATTTTCTTCTGCTTGCCACTAACTGCCGAGACTCATTGTGACACACGAACGCACACCCTTCCCCGCCTCCCGTCCCCCCCTCTCCTCCCATGCTCTACGTGATGCCCATTCTTGATGTGACATTTCATTGTGATTAAATCCTGTGTTGAAATGCAACTACATGGCATTGTCAGAGCACACCGACACGTGGGCTACATTCCAATAGTTATTCTCATATTTGTGTTGGTAGTGTATATTTACAGATACCGACTTATTTGTTTCCATTAAATCTGAATTAATGTAAATATTTTTATACTGATTTTCAGCGTCTCAAACTCGCAAGCGTGCCTTCTGATGAATGGGGCCCTGCTCGGACCGAACACAGGAAAATGTATCTGGAAAGAGAACACATTCAACGAGAGAAACTAATGTTGCCGGTTGTCGTGGAACCTGCTTCCCTAGAAATAAAATAGATGTATGGGTAGTTTCTAATAATAGATAATTTTCTAAGATATACATACATTCATATAACCAGGCTATTTACTAATGAGTAGAAAGTGTGTGAGTGAATGAATCATCGCATCGCATCGTCATAGATCCCACGACTTTGTGTATTTTGGGGTTCTACATACAAACGCACACACGCGCACACATACATACATTATGCAAACGTGACTTATTGTTACTGATGAGGACTGTCTTGGTGACTATTGTCTAACCAGCAATGTTCCAGCTATTTCACTGTCAGTAATCAAGTTTGCAAATCAAACAAAGTCACAGAGATAGACCAATCGGTCATTGGCCAAGACATATGCATCGGAAACATGTCGTCTGCTCGCAAGAAATGGAGCCATTCTTCTCTCACGGTCTCTGTTAATGGCAGTTTCCAATGTGACTGTCAAGTGTTCTATAAGTCTAGGGATCGTGCTGGACAAGGAAGACATTCCGGCATGAAAGAACAGCAGAACCACAAGGCTGAGAACGTGATCAGTGTTACTCTGTCCAGTGATATTGCCTTCCAAAGATCAGATCTGACTTGACTTGGTCTTAGAAAAAGTACTAACATTACCTCGAAAGTCGGTTATTTTGTGTTTTAGCGACTGTGAGCAAATCATTTTGTAACAGTATTCGAGGTTCTGCCCCAACGTCAAAATTCAGTTTGGTAATGTTTCTTTTGTGCGTCAGTTTATTCTTCCCTATGTATATTCGCAATAAATGTTGACTTGTCATTACTCGCATTTTTCCACAAACTGCAGCTGCTGGGCTCGGAATAACCTCAGTGGTCCGGGATATGTTTCAGGTAACAAAAGATAGATTGTGAACCGAGTAACAACAGCTATTCAAACCAAAGGTGAAAATTTACTTTGACATAGGGTTCACAATCATAAAGACTAATAAATAAATCCTTGTCATGAAAAAAAATATTTACATGAAGTCTTTCATGGAATTAAGATCTTGACACCTTGTCGGCCAAAGTAGAGTTCCTTCCGCCTCTTGACGTAAGAAATCGCCTACGTCACGTGCATGATGTGGCCTAGCCTTGTCGTCTATGAAGATTGCCCTTGTGTAAAGAGGATAGTCATTGAAATGTGGAATGTCAGGGATGTACAGTTGTATAACTTAGATTTTGTCCAATCATTACAAGGTCATGTTTACAGTCCTGCGAGAGGCATCCCAAAAACCTCAATGAACCCCCGCCAAACAGTACTTGCTCCAAGATATTCCGCTGAGATTACGCTGTGTTTATGCGGCACGAAACACGAGCTTGGGAATCAGTAATGACCTAAAGAAATCGACTTTCGTCTGATAAACCTCTTCCATTTTACGGAATGTGAGTATTTCGGACCTATGCAATAACATGGATGATATCTTAGCATCAAATAATGTAAAAAGCCATTTGGGAGAAAATTACATTTAAAACCACACCAGAAATAGGTTGATCAATACCGTTCAATTCACCATTCAGAAAAAAAATTCAATTTTAGGTTATTCAAAATTCACTGACATTCTTGTACTCCAGGATGGGCCAATGGTTAAAGCCTACGCTAGTCACGCCGAAGGCCCGGGTTCGATTCCCCACATGAGTACAATGTGTGAAGCCCATTTCTGGTGTCCCCGCTCTGATAGTGCTGGAATATTGTTAAAAGTGGTGTAAAAGTCACTCACTCACTTGTACTCCAGAAAACGTCTCTTGCTCTTGTGTGTATAATTACATCTATGAATAACTGATATAGCAAGGGCATGAAAAAAGAAATAGCAAGGAAATAAAACGCAGCCTTGCCTAACACCTAGATTGCAACGAAATTTGTTTGGCAACATTTTATTTCTTCTGACAAATGACTTGACATTACCATAAATTGACTTTGTGTGACTCTACAACTGAAGCAAACATTCTTTTACAGCCACCTCGTGAATAAGTCTGAATACGCTTCAGATACATGAGAACAAAACAGGACATAATGGCCTAAACGCTGGGGAAAATATGATTATACGTGACCGTTACCGATATGCTGTTTTTCACCGCAATATGTAATCAACTATCAGCCGTAAACTTGAAAGTAATATGTATGTTTAGGTTACCTGGCAGAGTTTATTCGCCTGTGTTGAGTGGGCAGTTACCACCAGCGAAATAGTGGAACGTTTTAGCCAGCAGCCATGGTTGTGTTGTTGTACATATAAAGCGAAAATGCATGAGTCGAACAAATGGTGGATAGAGAGTATGTTAGTTTTAAAAAATGAACATACCCTTACGTGTGTTTTATTGGATTGCTTATCCATTTCTTGATTGTCTGGTTTATTTATAAAGTGAGTTAGTGAGTTAATATTTAACGTCACATCGACAATATTTCAGCCATATAGTGACGAGAAATGTTTTATATAAACAATAAATTAAAGTTGCTAAATAATCAGTCATCGAAGGACTGTCAAATAACTAGAGTATCACAGATGGAGTCTAAAACTAGCATGAACATGTAAAACTATTTTATTTACGAAGACAATACAATATAAAAACGGACTATAGATCGCCAACAACTGAAGGTAGATCACCATACTAGGAACCATGGGGACTTACATTACTTTTGCTACCTCCATGGACCCTAGTTGGATTTACACCATCCCTTCAGCCATTGGCGACAGAAGAGAAATCTAGCCATAAATTAAAAGCACACATATTGTACGATTAAAAACGTGGTAAGCCTAAATTAACTCTAAATGTGTTGGGACTTACGTACCCCCTCAGGAGGACAATAATTTTACAATACTTCAACCCCCTTTGAGGGTACAGCCACTAACAATCTAAGTTGATAATCTAAACTACCAATTATAAAACCTTGTCTATCTACAAAACATATATCAAAATTCATTGAACAGATCTATCTCCTTTAAAAAATCAATGATTAAATGATAATTAACATTACTAAAAAGGTCCTTCATTGTTTTGAAATTAAAATATCTACCCCTTATGATGGAGAATTCAACACAGTCAAGTAGGACATGCTTGACCGTGGTTCTCTCATCACAAGGGGATACAAAACGGATGATCCTCACCTTTTAATAGGTACTCATGAGTATATCTGGTGTGGCCAATACGACATCGTCGCATGATGACCTCTTCAAATCTGGACTGACAACCCAAGTAGGTATAACCAATATAGGGTTTTATTTCATGTAATTTATTGATACCTACCTGGGCGTCCCACTTCTTTTGCACCAGATCGCGGATGTAAGTTCTTATGCTAGCTTTGTAATCAGAGTATGGGATAAGAAGTGGTGTCACTGATTTGTTGAGTGCTGCCTTAGCAGCAAGATCAGCCAGTGTATTCCCAGAAATGCCAACGTGGCTGGGTAACCAACAAAAGACGATGTCGCATTGGCCAGTAGCAAGATCATTATATAATTCGATTATTTCAATTAAAAGTGGATGTTTGCAAGAGAGATTTTTAATAGCCTGAAGGCAAGAAAGAGAGTCAGAAAATATTATATATTGTTTATGTTTGGGATGTCTTTGAATATATTTAAGAGCAGTTAAGATGGCGTTTGCTTCTGCTGTAAATATAGAGCTGTTATCAGGTATTCTAGAAGATATTGTTCTGGATCCAATGACAGTGGCACATGCCACTGCGCCACCGTCCTTGGACCCATCTGTAAATAAGGATTTGTATGTATTATATTTGATTTTTAATTGATTATATTCTTGTTTATACTGTAATTCATTTGTTTCTGATTTTTTAAATGTAGTTAATGTTAGGTCAGACTTCTTAAACTTTGTCAGAGTTAGGTCAACTTCAGGCCTCACCAGTTGCCAAGGAGGAGAAGAAAGAAGACGGGAAGGAGATATAGTTTCCAGCTCAATGCCGGCATCAGAAAGAAATGGTTTAATTCTGTGCCCAAGAGGCTGAACAAGAGAAGGCTTTTTGTTGTATAAATCCTCATAGAGGGGATTAAAGTCGCAGTTATATGCAGGGTTAGATTTGTTAGAGAACAGTTTGGTAATATACTGTAATGATGATTTGATACGGCGTTGTGCAAGAGATGGCTCATCTGCCTCGACGTAGAGGCTGTCAACAGGTGAAGTTCTAAAAAAGCCAAGACAAAGTCTCAGACCTTGGTGGTGGACAGAATCTAATAGTTTTAGGTTGCTTGTGCAGGCTCCACCATAAACGATGGAACCATAATCAAGTTTGGAACGTACCAGTGATCGATATAGATGTAGGAGGGTAATTTGATCCCCTCCCCACTTAGAATTGGAAACAACTTTCAACAAGTCAAGTGCCTTCAGGCATTTAGTTTTAAGGGATTTAATATGTGGCAGAAACGTTAAGTGTGAGTCAAAAATAATACCCAATAACTTGGCCTCCTTCACAACTTTGATGGGTGTGCCATTTAGAGATAGTTCCGGGTCTTTATGCGGTTTGTTTTTACGGCAGAAATGTATACAATTAGTTTTGGATTTAGAAAATTTAAAGCCATTTTCGAGACACCATTTATCTATATTGTTTAAACACAACTGCAGTTGCCGTTCAAAAGTATGCATATTTTTACCGCGACAAGAAATATTAAAATCATCCACAAAAAGTGACCCATCGATTGAATCACTTAAGACCTTTGATAAACTATTGATCTTAACACTAAACAATGTGACAGACAAAATACTACCTTGTGGGACACCCTGATCCTGATTATAATGGTCAGACAGGGTGGAACCCACGCGGACTTGAAATTGCCTATCAGTTAAAAACTCGGATATAAACTGAGGCAAACGGCCTCTCAAACCAAAATCATGTAAATCTTGTTAAATGCCGTGCTTCCATGTCGTGTCATAGGCTTTCTCTAAATCGAAAAATATTGACACTGCATGCTGCTTGTTAAGAATGGCATTCTTAACGAATGACTCCAATCGAACTAAATGGTCAATGGTACTGCGATTTTTACGAAAACCACATTGAATATTTGTGATTAAATTATTGGACTCTAAGTACCAAGTTAATCTGTTATTGACCATGCGTTCCATGGTTTTGCAAACGCAACTAGTCAAGGAAATGGGCCTATAATTTGAGGGATCCGTATGATCACGTCCAGGTTTAGGTATGGGTACAACAACGGCATCACGTCAAGATGAAGGAAATTTACGAGATGTCCAAATGTCATCAAAAATATTTAATAGTGTTTCTAAACAGGATTCAGGTAAGTGTTTCAGGAGCTGATAATGAATGTTATCAGCTCCTGTTGCAGTATTGTGAGCTTGTTCAAGAGCATTAAGAAGTTCATGAATAGAAAAGATTTCGTTATAATCTTCTCCGTTATCCGAATGAAAGTGTATATGCTTCTTTTCCTGTTGTCTTTGGTATTTTTGAAATTTAGGAACATAGTTAGCGGAGGAAGAATGTTTTGATAGTGTTTCACCCAGTTTATTTGCGATATCAGATTTATCAGTTAACAATTGATCCCCAGTTTTGAGATGGTGTATACTTGATTTGGTACCCTTACCTTTAATTTTCTGGATCATGTTCCATACCTTTGACATTGGCGTTCTTGTATTTATCCTTGAAACATAATTTTGCCAAGACTGGCGTTTATTTTGTTTAAAGGTACGCCGGGCTTTAGCATTTAGAATTTTATATCTATTTAGGTTATGGACCATTGGATGGCGACGGAAATAATGTTCGGCCTTCTTCCGTGCCTTCCTAGCTTGTTTGCAGTCAGCTGTA